AGGACGGTTAAAAGGTCTGACTTATCCAAACATATGAGAACCCATACAGGAGAAAAACCCTACAAGTGTGACAAGTGCGACTATTCTACTGCACAGAAAGGCCATTTGGACCAACACATGGCTAAACACACTGGAGACAAACCCTACATGTGTGAGGAGTGTGGATACAGGACAGCTTACAAGTCTGCTCTAACCACGCATATGAGGGCCCATATTGGAGACAAACCCTACAAGTGTGGGGAGTGTGGATACAGGTACAGCTTACAGGTCTGCTCTATCCAAGCATATGAGGACCCATACTGGTGAGAAACCCTACAAGTGTGACCAGTGTGACTTTTCTACAGCACGGCAAGACCATTTGGACCAACACATTATGGCTAAACACACAGGAGACAAACCCTACATGTGTGAGGAGTGTGGATACAGGGCAACTAAAAAGTCTGCTCTAACCCGACATATAAGGACCCATACTAATGTGAAACCATAGAAATGTAACAAGTGAGACTAGTACTAGTATTCCACTGAACATAAAGCCTGTTGAGCCACACAAATGGCTAAACATACCGGAGCCAAACTGTATAAATGTTTGGGGAGTTTGGACGCAGGACAGCTTTTAGGCCAAACCTATCAGCACACACAATGCCCCTGCTGTACTTGGTGGCAGTGAGTTCCACTCTGTGACAGTTTGATAGAAAAAAATTCCTCAATCCTTGGTTGATAACTCTAGTACTTGAAGACATGACTATAGCCTATTTCTTGTTCTGCTCTGTTCTGAGCTACTATTACTTAATAGTACATTTGTAGTTGGTACAGACTATGTCTAGAGCTAGAAGTTCGAGGGTTAGATGTAACAAGTCGATCGGTGTAATATAGCCAGCTGCCGCCGCGCCGCGTGCCTGCGAAGCTGGTGTGTTACGCCGAAAGGCGGTTATACCGGCTATACAGATACAGATACATACATTTTGTTATCTCCAAGCAGGTCCTAGGATGGCAAAAGACAGTATCAAGGATTGGACCCCCTCTGGTGACTAGATACTGCCTGGCCAATTTGATGCTGTCATTTGCCGCCCTAGGAGCTGATTGGAGATTGATAATTATGTACATCATGCATAGTCTGGACATATTTTGCCAGTCTTATAACCAAGTGTTTTACCAACTTTATCCCAGATTTGGTCCGGCTGTTTCATGCAAGATGGAGACAAATTTACAATTAAAGTTCATTGCTCTGTTATAGAATTAAAATTTTTTGACGACATCAGTCATGTTTGTGTTTCTTTTCTTCGTTCTTGGTTGTTGGTAGTTTTAAAGAACCCCAAACCGTCAAGTCTATGTAGCTTTGTGATTTTGAAATAAGAATTTGAAGGGACGTGATGTGCCGTGAGGCACTTTGTCCCGTATCATGTAGATGTAGAAGGGCTGATACCTACATGAAAATAGTTTTTGTTTTGTGTCGGAAGTCATGCTGCAGAACCAAGGTCAGCCACAAGGAGGCCAAAATTTGACCTTTGCCTTCCTTTGACCTAATCACATACCAAATATTATCACAATCCATGAATGCCTTCTAAAGTTATGCTGGCCACAAGTCACACACACACATGCGCACACACACATACAGACACACACACACAAAGACAGACAAAAACACACACACACAGACTACAAATATTTTCATGTAAGTAAAAGCTGAAATATATTATTTTCAGGAATCAGACTGCAACGTTTTTCAAACAGTGTAATCGGACAGTTACTGTTTTATTTGGGTAATCAGGTGTAAGTATTTGACCTTTCACCTGCAGCATCACTCAATTTTTTCCATTTTGTCCAGCGGCAGGAAGATCGTATCTCTAAAATCTGAGCCGGTTTTAAGGAAGATTCGGCGTTTTGTCGACCCTACAACAACAGAAACACACAGGTGAGACGTTTGTTGGTGATCAGCGTTCACTGTTTGATGCAATATGACAATTAAATAGGACCAGGAGAGTTCTTGTGTACATGTCCGTAAATGGGGAGGGGGGCGCAGTGTAATAAATTTTTGATGACTAAAGTAGAACTAGGTATCTCTGACTCTGAGCTCCTTGTTAGAAGTAAGTATCATATTTCTGAATATTATAGTTAGACTCTCCCAGTTTTCCAATGATGAAAAGTATTTGGCGATAGCCTGTATACTCCAAGCAGATCCTAGGGTGGCAAAAGACAGTATCAAATAATTTATTTGGCCAGGCAGTATCCATTCGCCAGAGAGGGCCCATACGCCACCCAAGGGCCAATAGATACTGCCTGGCCAATTCGATACTAGTACTGTCTTTTGCCACCCTAGGATCTGCTTGGAGAATGAAATGGAGATCAGATACCCCGGTATCTGTCTGTATCTGTATCTGTATAGCCGGTATAACCGCCTTTCGGCGTAACACACCAGCTTCACAGGCACGCGGCGCGGCGGCAGCTGGCTATATTACACCGATCGACTTGTTACACCTAACCATTGAACTTCTAGCTCTAGACATTGTTTAAAGCTATCTATTGACAATGCCCCTACTGTACTTGGTGACAGTGAGTTCCACTCTGCGATAGTTCTAGGAAAGAATGAATTCTTGAACACCTCAATCCTCAGACCGCGAAGGAGTGATAACCCTTCGCCCCGCCAACCCCGATTGGCACCCTGGCTCTCATTATCTCTCCGCATCTTGGCGTGAAAGAGAAAAGGGTTTGGGCGGCAGATACTGTAGTGGACATTAGGGCTTCTCCCCACAAAAAATCCATCGCTCATGAAGGCCACCGTCTGGCACCCAGGCAAGGATGCCAGTCATTGCCAGACCCGTAATATAACATGCTAAGCCGAGAGTTAGTGCGCCAATGTTTATATGTACAGATACAGAGTTTTTGACCCGAACATGGCTTGTAAGATACGCCTTGCTGTGCTGCTGCTCACGGATGACATGAAATGCTTACTAGAAGTTAGTATGTTAACATTTCTTTTGTTGTTTTTAGAAATGGCTGAGAGAAGATGTGAGATTCCTGTAATACAGGTCTGTAACATAAGAAACATAAGAAATGGAACAAATCAAACACTCATTCATCTTCCCTATCTCAACCGCAGAACAAAACAAGATGGCGAGTGCTGGAAGCACCGAATCCAGTTCCACAGCCTTTTTTGTCTATCCTGAGACTGGGCTTCTAAGGAAGCTAAAACTGAGGGATGCGACGCCTAAAAAGCTGAAACAAGCTCTGAAGCTTCCGGGGTATCCTGTCGTTCTTGTGGACACAGAGGAGGAGGAGGCGATCTTCGTAGATGGAGATGGAAACGACAGTCTGTTCTCCGACTTAGTACCCAACAAACAGTACGAGGTCCAGCTTGAAGAGGTCGACACCACTGGTAAGTGATAAACAGTGCATCATTCTTTAGTTTGTGTTTAGTTTAGGTTATGTTATGTTATAATATTGGTCTGGCAATGACTGGCATCCAGGCTATCTAATCTCCAAGCAGTTCCCAGGGTGGCAAAAGACAGCATCAAATTTGGCCAGGCAGTATCCATTCGCCAGAGAGGGTCCATACGCCACACAGCCAGGGGTCTAATCTCCAAGCAGATCCTCGGGTGACAGTCATTGCCAGACCCATAATATAACATGCTAGGCTGAGACTGAGAGTTAGGGCGCCAGTGTGCTGAGACTGAGAGTTAGCGCGCCAGTGTGCTAGGCTGAGACTGAGAGTTAGCGCGCCAGTGTGCTGTGTAGATATGTACATGTACACAGTCTTTGACACGAACATCGTTTGTAAGATACGCGTTGCTGTGCAGTGCTGATGCTCTCGGATCAAATTAAATGAATGCTAGAAGTATGTTAACATTTTAAAATTGTTTTTGTTTTTAGAAATAGCTGAGAGAAGCTACGAGATTCCTGTGGACAAACTGCCACCATTTCCAGCGAACGAGACAAACAATGAAGAGCAGGACTCACCCGTACATATGCATGAACAGGGCTGTATGAAGCAGAGGCAGGACTTTACACAGCAGATAGACAGGGTTATACAGGGCCTTACAGAGGGTACGGATACAGGAATATATGTACAGGGCCGTACAGAGCAGACAGATACAGGCGTACATGTACTGGATACAGAGCAGACAGATACAGGCATACAGGGCCGTACAGAGAAGACAGATACAGGCGTACATGTGCCGGGTACAGAGCAGACAGATACAGGCGAACCGGGCCATACAGGGCAGACAGATACAGGCGTACATGTGCCGGGTACAGGACAGACAGATACAAGCGTACATGTGCCGGGTACAGAGCAGACAGATACAGGCGAACCGGGCCGTACAGAGCAGACAGATACAGGCATACAGGGCCGTACAGAGCAGACAGATACAGGCATACAGGGCCGTACAGAGCAGACAGATACAGGCGAACCGGGCCGTACAGGGCAGACAGATACAGGCGTACATGTGCCGGGTACAGAGCAGACAGATAAAGTTGCGGTAAAACGTACTGCGGAAAATCGCTTCGTGTGTACGGAATGCGACTACAGGGCAACCTCCAAGGCTAACCTGGTGAAGCATATAAGGACACACACAGGTGAGAAGCCCTATAAATGTGGCCACTGCGACTATTCTGCTGCACAGAAAGGCCATTTAGACCATCACATCAAGGCGAAACACACTGGAGACAAACCCTACATGTGTGTGGTGTGTGTGTACAGGACAACTAACAAGTCTACTCTAATCCGACATATGAAGACCCATACTGGAAACAACCCCTACAAATGTGACCAGTGCGACTATTCTACTGCACAGAAAGGCCATTTGGACCAACACATGGCTAAACACACTGGAGACAAACCCTACATGTGTGGGGAGTGTGGATTCAGGACAGCTTACAGGTCTGCTATAACACTACATATGCGAACCCATACAGGAGAAAAACCCTACAGATGTGACCAGTGTGACTTTTCTTTTGCACAGAAAGGCCATTTGGACCGACACATGGCTAAACACACTGGAGAAAAACCCTACAAGTGTGAGAAGTGTAACTTTTCTACAGCACAGAAAGGACATTTAGACATACACATGGCTAAACACACTGGGGCAAAACCCTACAAATGTGACCAGTGTGACTATTCTACTGCACAGAAAGGCCATTTGGACCAACACATGGCTAAACACACTGGAGACAAACCCTACATGTGTGAGGAGTGTGGATACAGAACAACTTACAGGTCTGTTCTATCCAAGCATATGGCTAAACACACTGGAGACAAACCCTACATGTGTGGGGAGTGTGGATACAGGACAGCTTATAAGTCTGCTCTAACCACGCATATGAGGGCCCATATTGGAGACAAACCCTACAAGTGTGGGGAGTGTGGATACAGGACAGCTTACAGGTCTGCTCTATCCAAGCATATGAGAACCCATACTGGTGAGAAACCCTACAAGTGTGACCAGTGTGACTTTTCTGCTGCACGGCAAGACTATTTGGACCAACACATCATGGCTAAACACACAGGAGACAAACCCTACATGTGTGCGGAGTGTGGATACAGGGCAACTCAAAAGTCTGTGCTATCCAAGCATATGGCTAAACACACTGGAGACAAACCCTACATGTGTGGGGAGTGTGGACTCAGGACGGCTTACAGGTCTGCTCTAGCGCAACATATGAAGACCCATACTGGAGACAAACCCTACAAATGTGACCAGTGTGACTTTTCTGCTGCACGGAAAGGCCATTTAGACCAACACATGGCAAAACACTCTGGTGAGAAACCCTACAAGTGTGACCTGTGCGACCATGCTACTGCATGGAAAAGCAATCTAAACCAACACATGGATACACACACTGGGGAAAAACCCTACAAATGTGACCAGTGTGACTATTCTACTGCACGGCAAGACCATTTGGACCAACACATGGCTAAACACACCGGTGAGAAACCCTACATGTGTGGGGAGTGTGGATACAGAACAGCTAACAAGTCTGCTCTAACCACGCATATGAGGACCCATACTGGTGAAAAACCCTACAAATGTGACCAGTGCGACTTTTCTGCTGCACGGAAAGGCCATTTAGACCAACACATGGCAAAACACTCTGGTGAGAAACCCTACAAGTGTGACCTGTGCGACCATGCTACTGCATGGAAAAGCAATATAAACCAACACATGGATACACACACTGGGGAAAAACCCTACAAATGTGACCAGTGTGACTATTCTGCTGCACGGCAAGACCATTTGGACCAACACATTATGGCTAAACACACAGGAGACAAACCCTACATGTGTGGGGAGTGTGGATACAGGGCAACTCAAAAGTCTGCTCTAACCCGACATATGAAGACCCATACTGGTGTGAAACCATAGAAATGTTAACAGTGAGACTATTTTACTGAGCATAAAGCCTGTTGAGCCACACAAATGGCTAAACATACCGGAGCCAAACTGTGTAAATGTTTGGGGAGTTTGGACGCAGGACAGCTTTTAGGCCTAACCTATCTTCATAGTGATACACAATGCCTCTGATGTACTTGGTGGTAGTGAGTTTCACTCTGTGACAGTTTGATAGGAAAAAAAAGCGTTTTTGAATTCCTCAATCCTTGGTTGATAACTCTAGTACTTGAAGACATGACTATAGCCTATTTCTTGTTCTGCTCTGTTCTGAGCTACTATTACTTAATAGTACATTTGTAGTTGGTACAGACTATGTCTAGAGCTAGAAGTTCAAGGGTTAGGTGTAACAAGTCGATCGGTGTAATATAGCCAGCTGCCGCCGCGCCGCGTGCCTGCGAAGCTGGTGTGTTACGCCGAAAGGCGGTTATACCGGCTATACAGATACAGATACATACATTTTGTTATCTCCAAGCAGGTCCTAGGATGGCAAAAGACAGTATCAAGGATTGGGCCCTCTCTGGTGACTAGATACTGCCTGGCCAATTTGATACTGTCGTTTGCCACCCTAGGATCTGCTTGGAGATTGACAATTATGTACATCATGCAGGCGTCGTGTGGCGTAGTGGATAGAGCGTTCGGCGCTCAACAAGGAGCCCCGGGTTCGAACCTGGGTCGGAGCACGGGGGCATGTCCGAACATGCGCACCGACGTTGTGCCCTTGGGAAAGGCACTTTACACGTATCCCCCCTCAATTAGAGGGTCAAGTCTCCAACGGCAGTTGTCTTCAGCTGGCGGACGAGAGCAGCGCCAGGCGGGCTGGCGTGATCAAGGCGGAACTTGAGCGTAACCAAGTCACCGGCAGCTCGCTGCAAGCACCCGAACCGGAACCAGCACGTCTCCCTCGATGGATCCGCTGGGGAAGACGGATGCCCAAGTGTGTGGGTCTCAGATTCGCAACCTGTTATCCACCTTAAACAAATTCACGCGAAGGCTACCGTGTCAACTGTGACCCTCACTCAGGTGCAGGGGCTGACACGGTCATCATACTCGGAAAGTCTGTATATCTGTACATGAATCTGTATCTGTGCATGACTATGTATCTGTACATGACTCTGTATCTGATTACAAATAAAGATCACGAGTGATTGCCAAGAAGACATCATGCATAGTCTGGACATATTTTGCCAGTCTTATCATATAAGTTTATAACCAAGTGTTTTACCAACTTTATCCCAGATCTGGTCCGGCTGTTTCATGCAAGATGAACACAAAATTACATGCAACAAATTAAACTTCATTGCTCTGTTATAGAATTAAAATATTTTGACAATATCAGTCATGTTTGTGTTTATTTTCTTCATTCTTGGTTGTTGGTAGTTTTAAAGAACCCCGAACCGTCAAGTCTATGTAGCTTTGCGATTTTGAAGAGGATTTGAAGGGCTGATACCTACATGAAAATAGTTTTTGTTTTGTGTCGGAAGTTATGCTGCAGAACCAAGGTCAGCCACAAGGAGGCCAAAATTTGACCTTTGCCTTCCTTTGACCTACCCTCATACCAAATATTATCACAATGCATAAGTGCCTTCTTAAGTTATGCTGGCCACAAGTCACACACACACACATACAGACACACACAAACACGCACAGAGACAGACACACACAGAGACACACCACACAGACCACAAACATTTTCATGTAGGTAAAAGCTGAAATGTATTACTAGTATTTTTTTAGGACTCAGATTGCAACGCTGTTTAAACAGTGTAATCTGACAGTTACTGTTTTATTTGGGTAATCAGGTGTATTTGACCTTTAACCTGTTGAAGCAGTGACCCGTGTCAGCGCTTGTCCGCCATTTTGTCCAGCGGCAGGAAGATCGTTTCTCTAAAATCTGAGCGTTTTGTCGACCCTACAACAACAGAAACACACAGGTGAGACATTTGTTGGTGATCTTTGTTCACTGGTTGATGTAATATGACAGCTAGATAGGACCAGGAGAGTTCTTGTGTGCATGTCCGTAAATGGGGAGGGGGGCGCAGTGTAATAAATTTTTGATGACTAAAATAGAACTAGGTATCTCTGAGCTCCTTGTTAGAAGTAAGTATCATATTTCTGAATATTATAGTTAGACTCTCCCAGTTTTCCAATGATGAAAAGTATTTGGCGATAGCCTGTATACTCCAAGCAGATCCTAGGGTGGCAAAAGACAGTATCAAATAAATTATTTGGCCAGGCAGTATCCATTCGCCAGAGAGGGCCCATATGCCACCCAAGGGCCAATAGATACTGCCTGGCCAATTTGATATTGTCTTTTGCCACCCTAGGATCTGCTTGGAGAATGAAATGGAGATCAGATACCCCGGTAGCCTGGGTGCGCCGGTGCCAGACCGCGAAGGAGTGATAACCCTTCACCCCGCCAACCCCGATTGGCACCCTGGCTCTCATTATCTCTCCGCGTCTTGGCGTGAAAGAGAAGAGGGTTTGGTCAGCAGATACTGTAGTGGACATTAGGGCTTCTCCCCACAAAAAATCAATCGCTCATGAAGGCCACCGTCTGGCACCCAGGCAAGGATGCCAGTCATTGCCAGACCCGTAATATAACATGCTAAGCCGAGAGTTAGTGCGCCAATGTTTATATGTACAGATACAGAGTTTTTGACCCGAACATGGCTTGTAGGATACGCCTTCCTGTGCTGCTGCTCTCGGATGAAATGAAATGCTTACTAGAAGTTAGTAATGTATTTCTTTTGTTATTTTTAGAAATGGCTGAGAGAAGCTGTGAGATTCCTGTAACATAAGAAACATAAGAAATGGAACAAATCAAACACCCATTCATCTTCCCTGTCTCAAATGCAGAACAAAACAAGATGGCGAGTGCTGGAACCACCAAATCCAGTTCCACAGCCTTTTTTGTCTATCCTGAAACGGGGCTTCGAAGGAAGCTAAAACTGAGGGATGCGACGCCTAAAAAGCTGAAACAAGCTCTGAAGCTGCCGGGCTATCCTGTCGTTCTTGTGGACACAGAGGAGGAGGAGGCGATCTTCGTAGATGGAGATGGAAACGACAGTCTGTTCTCCGACTTAGCACCCAACAAACAGTACGAGGTCCAGCTTGAAGAGGTCGACACCACTGGTAAGTGATAAACAATGCATCATTCTTTAGTTTGTGTTTAGTTCAGGTTATGTCTTCTGGCAATGACTAGCATCCAGGCTATCTAATCTCAAGCAGTTCCCAGGGTGGCAAAAGACAGCATCAAATTTGGCCAGGCAGTGTCCATTGGTCAGAGAGGGTCCATACACCACCCCAGGGTGTCTAATCTCCAAGCAGATCCCAGGGTGGCAAAAGACAGCATCAAATTTGGCCAGGCAGTATCCATTTGCCAGAGAGGGTCCATACACCGCACAGGGGTCTAATCTCCAAGCAGATCCTCGGGTGACAGTCATTGCCAGACCCATAATATAACCTGCTAGGCTGAGACTGAGAGTTAGCGCGCCAGTGTGCTGTGTAGATATGTACATGTACAGGGTCTTTGACACGACCATCGTTTGTAAGATACGCGTTGCTGTGCTGATGCTCTCGGATGAAATAAAATGAATGCTAGAAGTATGTTAACATTTTAAAATTGTTTTTGTTTTTAGAAATAGCTGAGAGAAGCTGTGAGATTCCTGTGGACGAACTGCCACCATTTCCAGCGAACGAGACAAACAATGAAGAGCAGAACTCACCCATACATGAACAGGGCTGTATGGAGCAGACACAGGACTTTACACAGCAGATAGACAGGGTTATACAGGGCCTTACAGAGGGGACGGATACAGGAATATATGTACAGGGCCGTACAGAGCAGACAGATACAGGCGTACATGTACATGTGCTGGGTACAGAGAAGACAGATACAGGCGTACATGTGCCGGGTACAGAGCAGACAGATACAGGCGAACCGGGCCGTACAGAGCAGACAGATACAGGCATACAGGGCCGTACAGAGCAGACAGATACAGGCAAACCGGGCCGTACAGGCAGACAGATACAGGCGTACAGGGCCATACAGAGCAGACGGATAAAGTTGCGGTGAAACGTACTGCGGAAAATCGCTTCGTGTGTACGGAATGCGACTACAGGGCAACCTCCAAGGCTAACCTGGTGAAGCATATAAGGACACATACAGGTGAGAAGCCCTATAAGTGTGGCCACTGCGACTATTCTGCCACACAGAAAGGCCATTTAGACCATCACACCAAGGCTAAACACACTGGAGAGAAACCCTACATGTGTGTGGTGTGTGGGTACAGGACGACTAACAAGTCTACTCTAATCCGACATATGAAGACCCATACTGGAGACAACCCCTACAAATGTGACCAGTGTGACTATTCTGCTGCACAGAAAAGTGATTTGGAGAAACACATGGCTAAACACACCGGAGACAAACCCTATAAATGTGACCAGTGCGACTATTCTACTGTACAGAAAGCCAATTTAAACCAACACATGGCTAAACATACTGGGGCAAAACCCTACAAATGTGACCAGTGTGACTATTCTACTGCACAGAAAGGCTATTTAGCGGAACACATGGCTAAACACACTGGAGACAAACCCTACATGTGTGGGGAGTGTGGATTCAGGACAGCTTACAGGTCTGCTATAACACTACATATGCGAACCCATACAGGAGAAAAACCCTACAGATGTGACCAGTGTGACTTTTCTTTTGCACAGAAAGGCCATTTGGACCGACACATGGCTAAACACACTGGAGAAAAACCCTACAAGTGTGACCAGTGTGACTTTTCTACAGCACAGAAAGGACATTTAGAAATACACATGGCTAAACACACTGGGGCAAAACCCTACGAATGTGACCAGTGTGACTATTCTACTGCACAGAAAGGCCATTTGGACCAACACATGGCTAAACACACTGGAGACAAACCCTACATGTGTGAGGAGTGTGGATACAGGACAGCTTACAGGTCTGTTCTATCCAAGCATATGGCTAAACACACTGGAGACAAACCCTACATGTGTGAGGAGTGTGGATACAGGACAGCTTACAAGTCTGCTCTAACCACGCATATGAGGGCCCATATTGGAGACAAACCCTACAAGTGTGGGGAGTGTGGATACAGGACAGCTTACAGGTCTGCTCTATCCAAGCATATGAGAACCCATACTGGTGAGAAACCCTACAAGTGTGACCAGTGTGACTTTTCTGCTGCACGGCAAGACTATTTGGACCAACACATCATGGCTAAACACACTGGAGACAAACCCTACATGTGTGGAGAGTGTGGATACAGAACAACTTACAGGTCTGTTCTATCCAAGCATATGGCTATACACACTGGAGACAAACCCTACATGTGTGGGGAGTGTGGGTTCAGGGCAGCTCACAAGTCTGACTTATCCCGACATATGAGTACTCACACTAGAGACAAACCCCATAAGTGTGACCAGTGTGACTATTCTGCTGCACGGCAAGACCAATTGGACCAACACATTATGGCTAAACATACTGGAGACAAACCCTACATGTGTGGGGAGTGTGGGTACAGGACGACTAACAAGTCTACTCTAACCCGACATATGAAGACCCATACTGGAGACAAGCCCTACAAATGTGACCAGTGTGACTATTCTGCTGCACAGAAAGCTGATTTAAAGCAACACATGGCTAAACACACTGGAGACAAACCCTACATGTGTGGGGAGTGTGGACACAGAACGGCTGACAGGTCCAAGTTATCCCGACATATGAGGACCCACACTGGTGAGAAAAACTACAAATGTGACCAGTGCGACTATTCTGCCCTACAGAAAAGCAGTGTAGCAACACTGCCCTACAGAAAAGCAGTGTAGTCAAACACATCTTGGCTAAACACTCAGGAGACAAACCCTACATGTGTGAGGAGTGTGGATACAGGACAGCTTACAAGTCTGCTCTAACCACGCATATGAGGGCCCATATTGGAGACAAACCCTACATGTGCGGGGAGTGTGGATTCAGGACAGCTTACAGGTTTGCTCTAACCCGACATATGAAGAGCCATACTGGAGACAAACCCTACAAGTGTGACCAGTGCGACTTTTCTACTGCACAGAAATGCCATTTAGACGAACACATGGCTAAACACACTGGAGAAAAACGCTATGAATGTGACCAGTGTGACTTTTCTGCTGTAGAGAAAAAGGATGTAGACTCACACATAGTTAAACAAAATAGAGACAAACCTTATATCAATGAATGAAAGTTTATTATTGTGTCTTGCGACTACACACCACCCAAATGTGCTTATAAGACACCAACAAAAGAAAAACATCATAGTACAAATAATAGTGTACAGAGTCAAATCAAAAGCTAGCATAGGAGGTAGATAATGTTATACAGACATAGGTGAAGTAGTACACACTGTACAGTAGAGCTGTGTACCTAAACAAATTTTAGGTACAGGTACAGGTACAGGTACACAGGTTTAGGTACAGGTCCGGACCTGAACCTGTACCTGAACAATTCGACGAATTTATATGCTCTTCTGAACTCCTTCAATAACAAAAAAAACATTAATAAACTTGATAGTTAAGGTTTATTCTTTGTTTATGGCGAATGCTCAGATGAAATATAGGCAAAACTAAAGATGTTTTTGTTTTCATGAACACACTGTCCTTACACAGGGACCGATTTGAGGTCACCATAAAATTGGTGTGAAATTGTTTAGGTACGGTACCGGTACTGAGGGATTAGGTATTTTGGACCTGTACCTAATCAATTTTTCCGGTACAGTATCGGTACTGCGTACCGGTACACAGCTCTACTGTACAGAGATTCAATTCAAATAAAACATAGCAATAATTATATGTGGTGGCAATCCTTTTTCATTGGGGGTGGGGAAATGGACGAAAATTTTGGGCATGCAGATATCAACCACCTGATAGCAGGATAAGAGACATAAACCAAGGACAACATAGCAATAATTATATGTGGTGGCAATCCTTTTTTATTGGGGGGGGGGAATCACTCACTCACTCACTCACTGCACGGCTTAGCGTCCGTTGTTCCCCGTCATGCAAGGGTTGGACGTCGTGGGGTGTCGTTTGGGTCTAATAGCTGCTCTCCAGCTGCTTCTGTCTAGCGGGTTGGCCTTCTGCAGTTTCAAGTTTTTGACATCTTCCCTAATACTGTCTACCCATCTCTTTTTTGGACCATTCCTAAACGGGGAATGGACGAACTTTTTTTTTTATTTACAATTCAACTTGGACAATACAAGACATGGTGGTGAGGTTCTCTAGCTATAGCTAATTATAAAGTCACCACCAAACATACAAATATGCAAAAACAAAATACATGACAAAAACAAAAGAGAAGAGCAAATGGGTGGAAATGGATCAAAAAATGGTAAGGAAGAACATGTTTTGTAGGCTATGTTGGAGTTAATATAATACAAACAGCTTAGTACCAATAATGTAAGTTTGGGTGAAATGTTACAGTTTGTATCTGGGTGTAAATCGGGTGATTCTCTACGTAAAATGTGACATAAGAGTTGTTTAGACATGTATACATCAAAGATAGAGCCTACCTAGTTCTGTAGATTGCTGAGTAGGGTTACTCTTTGCTGATTACATACTAGTACTGAAATTGAATCTGTTGGGCATGCAGATATGAACCAGCTTTAATAGCGGAAAAAGAGACATAAACGAACGACAACAACCACCTTCACCATTGTGAAATTTTCGTTGCCCTTTGAAGTTATAGGTGATACCATAGGCAGTGCTGCATTTACACTATAATCGGTCAGTCGCGGTATCATGTGGGTAATCAGGTACGGACTTTTGACCTTTCACCTGCGGAAGCACTGACCCGTGTCAGCGCTTGTCCGCCATTTTGTCCAGCGGCAGGAAGATCGTTTCTCTAAAATCTGAGCCGGTTTTAAGGAAGATTCAGCGTTTTGTCGACCCTACAACAACAGAAACACACAGGTGAGACGTTTGTTGGTGATCTGTGTTCACTGGTTGATGCTGATACGACAGCAAGATTGGACCAGGGGAGTTTTGTGGTTGGATGGAGTACATGTCCTTATATGGAGAGGGGGGCGCAGTGTAGAGTAGAGGTGTGTAACTTCATGATATCAATCAATCAATCAATCAATCAAAATGGTTTATTGCTTAAATCACGAACATTGCATTAGAAAGCTGAAATGCGTTCAAAGATGCACATTCATATGCAAAAGACTACACAGTCAAATTGTGCCAGTAGAGTTGCATACTAAAAATATTTATGATATTACGTACATCTAGCATATGAGGACAATTTTTATTTCTAAAATTATATGATAGTAAGTTATTAGTCACTAAGACTATCCCAGTTTCCCAACGATGAAAAGGCGACTTGCAAGGACGAGAAGTCAAGGCAATTAAAGTAGTTGCAGCAGACAGCGTAAACCAGTGTAACTCTTGTCTTGAAAGTTCATCTGTGTTGGTAGAAGTCATTATGAAGTAAGTTTAAACTGTAATTTCCAACACAACAAAAATTGGACTCACCCAAATTTTCGAATGCACAACTCCAGTCTTTGTCAAGGAATGAGCAATCCACCGCTTCCGTGACGTCACGCAGATAACACACGTGACTCCGTGAGCAGTGGATCATAGGTTGCAGAAAGTCTGTGGCGCCCCCCGTCTCTGTTGAGGGATGGCTGTAAAGCCCTGATGTAGATGGCCTCTTTAATCCCTCGTGCAAAAAGTCCGGTTCTGTGTCCAAGAGTCCAATTTTTTGTTGTGTTGGAAATTACAGTTTGATCTTACTTCATAATGACTTCTACCAACACAGATGAACTTTCAAGACAAGAGTGTAACTCTTGGTTAGATGGAACATAAGTAACATAACTAGTAACCTACTTGTTAGTAATCATGATTTCTTTGTCAGTCCGTTTGTTTTTTATTATATATTTCTTGTTGTTTTTAGAAATGGCTGAGAAAAGCTGTGAGATTCCTGTGGACAAACTGCCAACAGACAAACTGCAAAAATGTGACCAGTGCGACTTTTCTACTGCACAGAAAGGCCAATTAGTGGAACACATTTTGGCTAAACACACTGGAGACAAACCCTACATATGTGGGGAGTGTGGATACAGGACAGCTTACAAGTGTGCTCTAACTCAACATATGAGAAAACATACAGGAGAAAAACCCTACAAGTGTGACCAGTGTGACTTTTCTGCTGCGCAAAGGGGCCAGTTAGACACGCACATGGCTAAACACCCTAGAGACAAACCCTACAAATGTGACCAGTGCGACTTTTCTGCTGCACAGAAAGGCCATTTGGACACACATATGGCTAAACACACAGGACTTACTGGAGACAAACCCTATAAGGGTGACCAGTGTGACTATTCTACTGCAAACAAAGTTTAGACTGACACTTGGCTAAACACACTGGTGACTACATGTGTGGAGAGTTCGGATTCAGGATGGCTTGCAAGGCTCACTTAACCAGACATATGAAAAACTATACTGGTGTGAAACCCTACAAATGTAACTAGTGCGACTTTTCTACTGCATGGAAAAGTACCTTAGACCAACACATGGCTACACACACTGAAGAAAAAGGCTATGAATGTGATCAGTGTGACAATTCTGCTGTAGATTAAAAGGATTTAGACTCACACATAGTTAAACAAAATAGAGACAAACCCTACATGAATGAATGAAAGTTAATTATTGTGTCTTGCGAATACACACCTCCCAAATGTGCTTATAAGACACCAACAAAAGAAAAACATCATAATATATTACAAAACAGTACAGGAGTCAAATCGAAAGGTGCCACAGGAGGTAGATAATATTATACATAGTTAAGTACTGCACACTGTACACAGATTCAATTCAAATAATAAACATTATTGTAGTAATTTCCAACTATTAACAACAATTATGTTTACTCAAAAGTACATGAAACAAAATAGAAAGTTGCAGTTGGATCATGATTGCATGTAGCTTAGAGGTAAAATTAAAATCTTCAACAAACAAATGTATTTGTCTTGTTTGTGTTTCTTTTTTGGTTGTGAACTCGTTGTCTTAAAGGCATCCAGTGCAGTTTTTAGGGCTAGGAAACCAGACTTTTCAAAGTCAATATTCTAGTCACTTATCTATATACTAAGTGGAAACAACATTGTCCCAATGTATATCGACATTCGCGGAGCAAAAATGCCCCAAATTCTGACAGAAAATGGTTATTGGAGGGGCCCTGGGCTGATTTCTAGGGTACCACCCCGAAAATAAAGGACTCATCCTGGGGCTTGTTTCTGCAGTTTTAAATGCCCAAAGTATGAAACAGCAACAGTTCATAACAGTAACACGGCAGACTAAAACATCACTGCGTCTCTTGCAGTGTAATTGGTCAGCCTTCCTATGACCTACCCGTATACCAAATACCATCACAATCCATAAAGGCCTTCTTCAGTTATGCTGACCACAAGTCACACGCAGACAGCAAGACACACGCTCAGACACACACACACACACAGACACAGACATGCACACAGTAACACACACACACACATACATACACACACACAAACAAACACACTGACATGCACACACACACACACACATGCACACACACACAGTAAAACACACACCACACACACACACATACATACACACATACACAGACATGCACACACACAAACACACACGCTCACAAACACACGCTCACACATGCACACGCACACACACAAACTGTCACACACACACACATGCACACACACAAACCAAAACCATTTTCATGTAGGTAAACAGTGTAATCGGCCAGTCACTGTTTTATTTGGGTAATCAGGTATGAACACTTTGACCTTTCACCTGCGGAAGCAGTGACCCGTGTCAGCGCTTGTCCGCCATTTTGTCGAGGTATGGCTTGGTCTAGAATATGGTAGGACGGCCACGAAAGACGGCCACGCCGCTATTGGTCAATTTCTCAGCAAGCTCCACGCTGCTATTGGTCGGGGTATCAGCTGCTGCAGTGAGGGGTAGCTAGCGGTGGGGAGGGCTGCCGGCGTTTATCCACAACTTTTAGGGGCAAAAAAACGTCAACCTTTACGACTATAATCACTCCACTTTGGTGGATAAGCCACAAACAGTCATTTGTGCGGCTCTTAGCTCTGGAAACCTTACAGGTAATGACTACGTGAGGGAGTTGGGTCTAGATATTACGTTACCAGTAAAACGCCGTACGCGTACGCGTATACGGGAAATACTTTCCATGGGCCTTTCATAATGTAGGGACCAGGTAAGCANTTACCTGGTTCCCAGATGAAAGGGCCACGCCAATATCACCTGTATGGTGCCTTACCTGGTTCCCAGATGAAAGGGCCACACCAATATCACCTGTACGGTGCCTTACCTGGTTCCCCAGATGAAAGGGCCACGCAAATATTACCTGTACGGTGGCTTACCTGGTCCCCAGATGAAAGGGCCACGCAAATATTACCTGTATGGTTCCTAAACCTGGTCCCTAGATGAAAGGGTCACGCCAAATATCACCTGTACGGTGCCTTACCTACTCCCCAGATGAAAGGGCCACGCCAATATCACCTGTACGGTGCCTTACCTGGTTCCCAGATGAAAGGGCCACGCAAATATTACCTGTACGGTGCCTTTGGTTCCCAGATGAAAGGGCCACGCAAATATTACCTGTATGGTTCCTAAACCTGGTCCCTAGATGAAAGGGCTACGCAAATATCACCTGTACGGTGCCTTACCTGGTCCCTACATAATTTATGAAAGGCCCATGGAATTTTCCCGTACGGCGTTTTACCATGGAGGTAGAAATGGTTTTACTGGTAACGTAATCTAGACCCAACTCCCTCACGCAGTCATTACCTGTAAGGTTTCCAGAGCTAAGAGCCGCACAAATGACTGTTTGTGGCTTATCCACCGAAGTGGAGTGATTATAGCCGTAAAGGTTGACGTTTTTTGCCCCTAAAAGCTGTGGATAAACGCCGGCAGCCCTCCCCACCGCTAGCTATCCCTCACTGCAGCAGCTGATACCCCGACCAATAGCAGCGTGGAGCTTGCTGAGAAATTGACCAATAGCGGCGTGGCCGTCTTTCGTGGCCGTCCTACCATATTCTAGGCCAAGCCATACCTCTTTTGTCCAGCGGCAGGAAGATCGTTTCTCTAAAATCTGAGCCGGTTTTAAGGAAGATTCGGCGTTTTGTCGACCCTACAACAACAGAAACACACAGGTGAGACATTTGTTGATGATTTGTGTTCACTGGTTGATGTAAATATGACAGTAAGATAGCACCAGGGAGTTCTTGAGTACATGTCCTTATATGGGGAGGGGGGCACAGTCGCGATATAATAATATTATGAAGACAACAATAGAACTAGATATCTCTGAGCTCCCTGTTAGAAGTAAGTATCAGATTTTTTTTTATTTCTGAATATTTTTAGTAAAACTATCCCAGTTTTCCAACGACGAAAAGTCCATTGGCGCCTGTACTCCGTGTAAAAAAACATTTCCAAGCAGATCCTAGGGTGGCAAAAGACGAGAAGCATAAAAATTAATTCAAATTGGCCAGGCAGTATCCATTCGCCAAGAGGGGGCCGAAGGGTGTCTACTCTCCAAGCAGATCCTCGGTTGGTGTATTGGACCCTCTCTGGCGAATGGATACTGCCTGGCCAATTTGAATCAATTTTGATGCTGTCTTTTGCCACCCTAGGATCTGCTTGGAGATTAGATAGCCTGGATGCCAGACATTAGGCCGAGAGTTAGCACGCCAGGATACAAGGTGCAACCTTATAAGGGTTTGACACAAACATAATTTTGTTTGTAAGATACGCCATGCTGTGCTGCTGTAAGGATTACTACGTAGTAGATAATATGGTAACATTTCTTTGTCGTTCAGTGTTCTTCTGTACCTAGCCCGTCGTGGCATGAATGTACAATAAAGGTGTTTCATTTTTTTTATGTTGTTTTTAGAAATGGCTGAGAGAAGCTGTGAGATTCCTGCAAACGAAATGCCAACATTTCCAGCGAACGAGACAAATGATGAAGAGCAGAACTTGCCTGTAGATGTACAAGGCTGTATGGAGCAGACAGATACAGGCGAACCGGGCCGTACAGAGCAGACAGATACAGGCGTACATGTGCCGGGTACAGAGCAGACAGATACAGGCGAACCGGGCCATACAGGGCAGACAGATACAGGCGTACATGTGCCGGGTACAGAGCAGACAGATACAGGCATACAGGGCCGAACAGAGCAGACAGATACAGGCATACAGGGCCGTACAGAGCAGACAGATACAGGCGTACATGTGCCGGGTACAGAGCAGACAGATACAGGCGAACCGGGCCGTACAGAGCAGACAGATACAGGCGTACATGTGCCGGGTACAGAGCAGACAGATACAGGCATACAGGGCCGTACAAAGCAGACAGATACAGGCGTACATGTGCCGGGTACAGAGCAGACAGATACAGGCGTACAGGGCCGTACAGAGCAGACGGATAAAGTTGCGGTGAAACGTACTGCGGAAAATCGCTTTGTGTGTACGGAATGCGACTACAGGGCAACCTCGAAGACTAACCTGGTGAAGCATATAAGGACACATACAGGTGAGAAGCCCTATAAATGTGACAAGTGTGACTATTCTGCCACACAGAAAGGCCATTTAGACCATCACATCAAGGCTAAACACACTGGAGAGAAACCCTACATGTGTGTGGTGTGTGGGTACAGGACTGCTGACGTGTCTGACCTAGCCGAGCACATGTGGACTCATACAAATGTAAAACCCTACAAGTGTGACCAGTGCGACTATTCTGCTGCGCAGAAAGGCAATTTAGACCAACACATCATGGCTAAACACACTGAAGAGAAATCCTATAAGTGTGACCAGTGCGACTTTGCTGCTTCACTGAAAGCTGATTTAAAGAAACACAAAAAGGCCAAACATACAGATGAGAAACCCTACAATTACAAATGTGACCTGTGCGACTACTCTACTACACAGAAAGGTACTTTAGACCGACACTTGGCTAAACACACTGGAGACAAACCTTACAAGTGTGAAGAATGTGAGTACAGGACAGGGGACAGGTCTACTCTACTCGTACACATGAGAACCCACACAGGTGAGAAACCCTATAAATGTGACCTGTGTGACTATTCTGCTGCACAGAAAGGCCATTTGGGCCAACACATGGCTAAACATACTGGAGAAAAACCCCACAAGTGTAGGGAGTGTGGACACAGGACAGCTTACAAGTCTGCTCTAACGCTACATATGAAGACCCATACTGGTGAGAAACCCTACAAGTGTGACCAGTGCGACTTTTCTACGGCACGGAAAACCAGTTTAAAGGTACACATGGCTAAACACACTGGAGACAAACCCTACAAGTGTGGAGAGTGTGAGTACAGGACAGTTGAGAAGTCTAGCCTAACCGTGCACATGAGAACCCACACAGGTGAGAAACCCTACAAATGTGACCACTGCGACTATTCTGCTGCACAGAAAGGCCAATTGGACACACATATGGTTAGGCACGCTGGAGACAAGGCCTTCAAATGTGACCATTGTGACTTTTCTGCTGCACGCAAACGACATATTGTTCAACACAGAGCTTTAAAACACACCGGAGAAAAACCCTACATGTGTGAGGAGTGTGGATTCAGGACAGGGTACAAGTCAACTTTTTTGAACCATAAAAGAAACCACACTGGGGAAAAACGCTACAAGTGTGACCAGTGCAACTTTGCTACTATGCACAAAGGCAACTTAGTCGTGCACATGGCAAACCACACTGGAGACAAACCCCACATGTGTGACCAGTGCGGCTTCAGGACAGCTTACAGTTCTGTTCTAACCAAGCACATGAGAACCCACTCTGGTGAGAAACCCTTTAAGTGTGACCTGTGCGACTTTTCTTCCGCGTGGAAAGACGAACTAAAAAAACACATGGCCAGACACTCAGGAGCAAAACCCTACATGTGTGAGGAGTGTGGATACAGGTCGGCTGATAGCTCTAATTTCTGCAGGCATAAGAAAACACATTCTGGTGAGAAACCTCAGAAATGTGACCAGTTGCAATACAACCAAGAACCACCTTGGTTCAACTCAGGTCCTGGCGACCAGTTCAACCCAGGTCCTTGGTTCAGCTGATACAACTCTGTACTATCATGAAAGTTCATCTGTGTTGTTAGTTACATGTTTGAAGTTAAAACTTTTGGTCCAACACAAAGAAGTTCTCTCACCTAGAGCTTTCGGCCAGTCACTCTGGTCTTCCTCAGTAGACTGACTAGGTCACTGCTTCACTGGGTAAGTCTACTGAGGAAGACCAGAGTGACCGGTCGAAAGCTCTAGGTGAGAGAATTTTTTCTGTTGGACCAAAAATTTTAACTTTAAACCTGATACAACTCTGATCCACACAAGACTGGACAGAATGACTTGTGCGTGTGTATGTAGCCTCTAGCATTCATGTATGTAGCCTCTACCAGTTTATTTGTACATTTGTATGTAGCCTGTAGCATTGATGTATGTAGCCTCTAGCATACATGTTTGTAGGGCTCCTCTACCAGTTTATTTGTACATTTGTATGTAGCCTGTAGCCTCTAGCTGTGCGCGTGTATGTAGCCTCTACCAGTGTACATTTGTATATAGCCTCTACTACTACTAGTGTATGTGGCCTCTAGCAGGCTTCGGGAGGCGGCTTGAAAGAGTATAAATGGAGAGATAACAGGCCAGGGGAGTTGATCCGCTAGAAAAGAATGTAGGTTCCGGCGTTTGTACACATGGTCAGACGCGCAGGCGATAACGTGAGAATAGTGAAACCTATCCGGACAACCTGCTGACACCTTTTTGAACAGACAAAAGAAGTCATCTTTGTAAGACTGCAGAAATGTCACCAGTTTGTCCTTTCTGTCACTCAGAAGAAAAGTCTAGACTGACATTTCCGGATTCAGGACAGCTGATTTTTATTTTATTATTTTATTCAGAAAAATGGTAATAAATACAAAAGAATATGAACTATTGTGAACATATATTTGTGGACAATTTCAAATATAAAGAAGCGTTTTACTACTCTAAAGAGGAACTAAACTGCTGCTTCTGATGCTATATTAACACCGATACATGCATGTATGAATGAATGAATGAATGAATGAATGAAACTTTATTTCCGTGTCATGCGCTTTCCAGCCCGTGTGGGCTTATACGACACCGTTTCAATAAATTATACATAAACAAAATAGAATCAAAGGTAGATATGTACATAATGAACCAAGAGATCACTTAATAAATACAAGTACATAAGATAAATCAAATATAATAAGAGAAAGTTGGATCATATTTACTATATTGTAGGATCTCCTTTCAACGTCATCTGTCGTTTTTGCATTTATTTTTTTTTTCCTTTCTTAGTCGTGAACTGCATGGAAGTGTTCAGATTAAACCGGTCTGGTCAATTGGTGCATTTATATATACAAAATCCTGTAGATGTAATGAGACAACTTTGATTTTAATGTCCTTTCCTTATCTTATGTAGCTTGTTGTCCTTGTCTCCAGGCTTAGCCCTTTAAAAGTATATAGTATTGTAACGAGGCAACCCTGGCTGTCCTTTTTTGTACAGCTGAACCAACAAAATAAAGTAAAAAAAAATAAACTGGTCTTGACATAAAGTTTCAAAGAAACCCAAACCATCAGGTATAAGTAGGTTTGAGATTTAAAGATAAAACAAGCTGAAATATTTTTTGTTGCGTTTCTGGAATAAAATCAGACTGCAGCGCTGCTTAAACAGACTATAGTAAAGTTTAAAGTTAAAACTTTTGATCCAACACAAAGTAGTTCACCTAGAGCTTTCGACCAGTCACTCTGGTCTTCCTAAGTAGACTGACCCAGTGAGGCTTGTCACGCGGCTTCTTTGAAGTGTGACGTCAACACTGGGTTAAATCTGGTAGACGATATCGGCCCCCGTCGCATCACTGGGTCAGTCTACTAAGGAAGACCAGAGTGACTGGTCGAAATTTTAAGGTGAGAGAATCTTTTTGTGTGTTGGACCAAAAGTTTTAACTTAAATATGTAACTACCAACACAGATGAACTTTCATGAGTAAATCTATCGTCAAGTTTTGTGACATCAGTATGATGAAATTAAGTCATGTGATGATGATACTGCTATGAAAGTAGTTACCTCGACCTTGTTGAAAAGCGGTCATATGTATGTACCGAACAAGCTTCCAAATTTAAATAAAGGCTTACTACTGCTTACTACAACATATAGGGTTTGAATATATGGTATTTAACTATGTGTGAGTCTAAATCCTTTTTCTCTGCAGCAGAAAAGTCACAATGATCACATTCATAGAGTTTTTCTGTAGTGTGTTTCGCCATGTGTTCGTCTAAATGGCCTTTCTGTGCTGCAGAAAAGTCGCACTGGTCACATTTGTAGGGTTTCTCTCCAGTGTGTTTAGCCATAATGTGTTGGTCAAAGTCACTTTTCTGTGCAGCAGAATAGTTGCACTGGTCACAATTGTAGGGGTTTTCTCCTGTGTGGGTCATCATATGCAGCGAAAGAGTGCTCCTTTGAGCTGTCCTGTATCCACACTCCCAACACATGTAGGGTTTGTGAGTGTGTTTAGCCATGTGTCGGTCCAAATGGCCTTTCTGTGCAGCAGAAAAGTCACAATGGTCACATTTGTAGCGTTTTTGTCCAGTGTGTTTAGCCATGTGTTCATCTAAATTGCATTTCTGTGCAGCAGAAAAGTCGCACTGGTCACACTTGTAGGGTTTTTCTCCTGTATGGTGGTTTGTCAAATGCCGTGAAAGAGCGTTCCTTCGAGCTGTCCTGTATCCACACTCCCCGCACATGTAGAGTTTGTCTCCAGTGTGTTTAGCCAAGATGTGTTTCTTTAAATGGCCTTTCTGTGCAGCAGAAAAGTCGCACTGGTCACACTTGTAGGGTTTCTCACCAGTATGGGTTCTCATATGCCTGGTTAGAGTAGACTTGACAGCTGTCCTGTATCCACACTGCTCACACATGTAGGGTTTGTCTCCAGTGTGTTTACCATGTGTCCAGTTAAATGTAGTTTCTGTGTAGCAGAAAGTCGCACTGGTCACATTTGTAGGGTTTCACAACTGCGTGTGTCCTCATATGTACGGTTAGGTTAGCCCTGTAAGCCGTCCTATGTCCACACTTCGTACACATGTAGGGTCTTTCTCCAGTGTGTGTAGACATGTGTCTTTCTAAACTGCTTTTATGTGCGGTAGAAAAGTCACACTGGTCACATTTGTAGGGTTTTACCCCAGTGTGTGTATCCATGTGTTGGTTTAGATTGCTTTTCCATGCAGTAGCAAAATCGCACAGGTCACACTTGTAGGGTTTCTCACCAGAGTGTTTTGCCATGTGTTGGTCTAAATGGAATTTCCATTTAGTAGAATAGTCGCACTGGTCACATTTGTAGGGTTTTACCCCGATGTGTTTAACCATGTGTTGGTCTAAATGGCTTTTCCATGCAGTAGAATAGTCGCACTGGTCACATTTGTAGGGTTTGTCTTTTGGCAGTTTGTCCACAGGAATCTCACAGCTTCTCTCAGCCATTTCTAAAACAAAAAAAAATAAGGCATAAGTAAAACAGACTGAATGTCAAAGAAATGTTACCACAATATGCATATATATGCAGTTTCATTTTACGTTTCTAGAGCAGCAATACAGCAATTAAGATGTAAAAATTCTTGCAAGCGAAGTTCGTGACAAACCCATTGATTTTATTGGCTTTGCAACAGGGCAATACTATGAATTATTTGCCTACCTTCATATAATTTGCATGTATAAAAAATTGGGAAAATATATAAGTTGCTTTCATTATGGATCTACGTGGTCATGAAGGTTTAATAAATTTGATTTGATTTGATTTATTGAGATGCCCTTTAGCCCCATGAGGGGCTAATCTTCCAGGGCTCATTAACAGTACAACACATAAAATACAAGCACTGAATACATACAATCATTGCAATTACACATTAAAATAATTGAGGTTGAGGCCAGAGGTCATTTAACTAATTATGACTAAAATCAACAATAAAACTTGTGAGTTACTAAATTGCTTCGAATATATACAATATTGTCAGGGTAAGCCTTTAAGTTCCATAAAGCTGACGTGTCATTTTCCTGAACTGCCTCTCATCAGCTGCTAATACAGTAGTCTTAACTTCACTCGGTAATGCGTTCCACAACTTTACAGATCTGTAAACAAACATCCTCTTTCCACTATTGTTGTTAGGTTTGAGCAATGAGTAGTCGTGCACTGATTGCCTAGTGGAATACCTGTGAGACGTATGAACTGGTACCAGAGATTTATAGATCTCCTGTGGCTCACTTGTGGTTACAATCTTGAAAAACAACTTAAGAGTACTGACATCAAATCTATTTCTCACCGATAACCAACCAAGATCAGAGTGCATCTGTACAGAGTGCATAAATGACACAGAGTATGGTATGGCGAATAATCTACTCTTCAAATTCATTTCTTTACATTTTCGTCTTCTACGTTTGATTTTGGCATTCTACGAAAACTCCCTTGATCCCACCTTTACTAGTCTTACTACGGACTAACTTGCCAGGGGAGTTTGGCCGCCTTGGGGCTGGACTGGCGGCGCAATTCTTTTCCTCTCTTTTTTTGCCGAATGCTACGATCCGTATTCCCGTAGAAAGGCCTGGTGGAGGCTTAAAGACCTTGTACTTATATAAGCACCCAATAAATTCGGCTAAGATAAACGACCAGACCTCATTCTGTCCCTGACTACTGTAGCATGGGCAGAGGGCTTGTTTGTTTGTTTGTTTGTTTGTTTGTTCTTATTTATTTAACAAGGGGGATACATATCGCCCGTAGGGCGTTTTTCAATGAGCCCTGGGCCTGAGGAAGACCCCAAACAAAAACATCAAACTCAAACTAATACAAATAACAACAAAAGTAACTTATAAAGTTACAAAATTTGCTAAATAATACAAAAGCAAGGTAACTTAAGTAGCATACATTGCGCATGCTCGCCTTGGCTCGCAGTGACCAAGACTAGTAGCCTCTACCAGGCTTGGGGAGGCGGCTGGAAAGAGTAGAAATCGGCCAAATAGAGAGATAAGCATGCCGGGGGAGTTTGTCCGTTGACTAGAGAACATTTCGCCTCGTTTCTACTCTTTCCAGCCGCCTGTATAACTTATTAAGAACAACCAGTGAGCACAGATAACTAACAAACGTCTCACCTGTGTGTTTCTGAAGTTGTAGGTTTTACAAAACGCTGAATCGGCTTAGATTTTGGAGAGACGATCTTCCAGCAGTTGAACAAAATGGCGGACAAAAAAATAGGTGTGTTTGTTACGCGCGAAAGGCGGTTAGACCGGCTTTGTCCTTGGGCTGTCCCGATACAGATATGGGATAGCCTGCTGACCCGTGCCTTTATCTGTACCGGTATAACCGCTTTTTGGGCGTAACACTCCCGCTATTTTTGTCGATCCGCCATTTTGTTCAGCTGCAGAAAGATCGTTTCTCCAAAATCTAAGCCGATTCAGCGTTTTGTAAAACCTACAACTTCAGAAACACACAGGTGAGACGTTTGTTAGTTATCTGTGCTCACTGGTTGTTCTTAATAAGTTATACAGGCGGCTGGAAAGAGTAGAAACGCGGCGAAATGTTCTCTATCTGTGTTCACTGATAGAGTATTGTCAAGTATCATAATCTCCAAGCAGATCCCTCTCGGTGGCAAAAAGACAGTATCAAATTAGCCAGGCAGTATCCATTAGCCAGAGAAGGTCGGCAGCCACCAACGGTGGCTGGCGACCTTCTCCGGCTAATGAATACTGCCTGGCCAATTTGATACCGTCTTTTTCCCACCGAGAGGGATCTGCTTGGAGATTAGTACGATGAACAGAGTTCACGTAGCACCGTGTGACGTCATCTAACTTCGTACAGTAAGTGTGTTCAAGGACATGGTGTGTCCAGAAATTAGCCTCTACCAGGCTTGAGGGCGCGGCTGGAAAAAGTAGCAATTGGCCAAATAGAGAGATAACACGCCGAGGAAGTTTAGCCATCCAATTTGGCCAATTTCTACTATTTCCAGCCGCGCCCTCAAGCCTGGTAGAGGCTATCCAGAAATATGGGTTGTAATGATAAAATTGTGGTGTCAATTTGGTAGTATATGAGAAAACAGTATACATGTAGGCTAGAGCTCTGTCTCAATCTGTTTTAGTGATGCCTTATTTTTACTGTTAGAAATGGCTGAGAGAAGCTGTGAGATTCCTGTGGACAAACTGCGAACAGACAAACCCTACAAATGTGACCAGTGTGACTATTCTACTGCACAGAAAGGCCATTTAGCGGAACACATGGTTAAACACACTGGAGAAAAACCCTACATGTGTGACCAGTGCGACTTTTCTACCGCGCATAAATGCAGTTTAGACAGACACATGTTTAAACACACTGGAGACAAACCCTACATGTGTACGACGTGTGGACATAGGACAGCTTACAGGTCTGCTCTAACCACGCATATGAGGACCCATACAGGTGACAAACCATATAAGTGTGACCAGTGCGACTTTTCTACAACACAGAAACTACATTTAACTGGACACATGTTTAAACACATTGGAGTGAAACCTTACATGTGTGGGGAGTGTGGATACAGGACGGCCCTAAGGTCTTCTCTTCACGGCACATGAGGACCCACACTGGAGTGAAACCCTATAAGTGTGACCAGTGTGACTATTCTGCTGCATGGAAAGCCAGTTTAGACCGACACATGACTCAACACACTGGAGACAAACCCTACATGTGTGAGGAGTGTGGACACAGGACGGCCCAAAGACTTACTCTTTCACGGCACATGAGGACCCACACAGGTGAGAAACCCTACAAGTGTGACCAGTGTGACTATTCTACTGCATGGAAAACAAGTTTAAACAAACATATGGCTAAACACACTGGAGACAAACCCTACAAGTGCGGGGAATGTGGATACAAGACAGCTTACAAGTCTACTCTAACCAGGCACATAAGGATCCATACTGGTGGAAAACGCTACAAATGTGACCAGTGCGACTATTCTGCAACATACAGACGCCATTTAGCCGAACACATCTTGGATAAACACACTGGAGACAAACCCTACATGTGTGGGGAGTGTGGATTCAGAACAGCTTACAGGTCTGCTCTAGTCAATCATATGAGGACCCACACAGGCGTGAAACACTATAAATGTGACCAGTGTGACTATTCTGCTGCACAGAAAGGCCATTTAGACCAACACATTATGGCTAAACACACTGGAGTCAAACCCTACATGTGTGGGGAGTGTGGATTCAGGACAGCTTACAAGTCTGCTCTTTCCAGGCACATGAGAACCCATAAAGAAGAGAAGGCCTACAAATGTAACCAGTGCGACTTTTCTACAGCACACAAACAGAATTTAGACGAACACATGGCTAAACACACTAGAGAAAAACGCTATGAATGTGACCATTGTGACTATTCTGCTGTAGAGAAAAAGGATTTAGACTCACACATAGTTAAACACCATATATTCAAACCCTATATGCTGTAGTGAGTAGTAGTAAGCCTTTATTTAAACTCGGAAGCTTGCTCGGTACATAAATACATGTATGGCCGCTTTTCAACACGGTCGAGGGTGAGGATGTTTTATAAGATCATACATAATGCTGTCTCCGTCCCACACTCAACCAGGATTGTCCCGGTGGCTCGATGCTCCCGCCGCATCAATCACACTCAAACATTGCAGGCCATCGCGAGCAGAAACAACTTTTACAGGCTCTCGTTCTTCCCCCGCACCATCAGGGAATGGAACGAACTTGAGCCTGGTGCGGTGGAGGCGGGGTCTCTTGCCCAGTTCAAATCTGAACTGGCGAGGACCCTGCTGCATTGAGCCACCCCATCATGTCTTGTACATTAGTATATATGTAAATACTACTAACGCACTAATGCACTTGTCCCGTCTTTACCACACACAAAATCAGTTGTCTTATGTTCCCTTCTCAATTATCCTTGTTTTCCCTTTGTTTTTTATGTACCGGGTCACAATTGTTACTAACAATGCGTAACGGCTGCCAATAAACCTACACTGTAGGGCTGGGCAGTAACGGAGAAGAGGGCGGGGTCACGGATTACAAATCAAACCAAAAAAATATAATACAGAAATAAATACTAAATCAACAGTCCGTTATCAGTCCAAGTGCCTTACTTGTAAAGTTCCCAATGACTGGTGTATGATGGCTAGTACATGTGGTGGCAAGGAGTTTCACGCAGTCGCCCCCGAGTACCTCAGTGACCAGGCTATGGAGAATAAACTTTCTTTAATGCAAATCTGTCGTTTTTGTTTTCTTTGTGTCTTTCTAAAGGGTTGTGATAACCTACTCTACTCGGGTGGTATTTTCGTGCGCGCTCGCTAGTACGTAACGTTACACGGCGGCGATCTGATACACTGCATTATTTCTACTACCGGGACTTAAAACGAGACGCAAGATTCCTATTTTGGGGTATAAAATGTTGTCACAATCACGAACCTTTACAAAGTACCTTATTTGGTGGCGCTATGAGGGTGTGCCGTTATCCCTCTACATTTGCCCAGAAGGGAGTTAGTCGCGGACTAAAAAGCTCACTGCGGCTCTTACAGTGTAATCGGACAGTTACTGCTTTTTTGTTTGGGTAATTAAGTATGAACACTTTGTAACGCAAGAGAAAGGAGTAACTCGAAGGTTGACTCTTACCCCCGGGGATCGAACCCGCGCCGCCCGCTCACCCAGCGCACCAACCGATTCGGCCAAAAGGTCCAAGATCCATTGGGCTGATAGTTAGTGACGCCTATATACTCGCTGTGACAACTTTGACCTTTCCCCTACTGAAGTGCTGACCCGTGCCTTTATCTGTACCGGTATAACCGCTTTTTGGGCGTAACACTCCAGCTATTTTTGTCCGCCATTTTGTTCAGCTGCAGGAAGATCGTTTCTCCAAAATCTAAGCCGATTCAGCGTTTTGTAAAACCTACAACTTCAGAAACACACAGGTGAGACGTTTGTTAGTTATCTGTGGTCACTGATAGAGTATTGTCAAGTATCATAATCTCCAAGCAGATCCCTTTCGGTGGCAAAAAGACAGAATCAAATTGGCCAGGCAGTATCCATTAGCCAGAGAAGGTCGGCAGCCACCGACGTTGGTGGGGGTCAGTACAAAAACAAAAAACAAAAATGGCCATATATAAAAAGGTAACGATCATTCCCCACAACCTCTGCTTGGAGAGTACAGTATCAGGGTGAAAGGTACGAAGTTACGAAGTCGTACGAAGTTAGAAATGACTAGGCCTTACTTTGTACGGAGGGCGTACTCTCCAAGCAGAGGTTTGGGTTTGGGGTTATTTTTGGCGTGTTTCTAGGCTTTTGGGTTTCTCTTTTGCACTGGAATTTTTTCCGACCCAACCCAACAGCTCAACCCAAGAGAAAAATTCCAGTGCAAAAGAGAATCCCCCATAAAAAAATCCTAAAAACAGGCCAAGAATAACCCCAAACCTCTGCTTGGAGAGTACAAATGGCGGTGCTGGTAGACGATGTACAGAGTTCACGTAGCACCGTGTGACGTAATCCAACTTCGTACGAAGGCGGGGACCAGGGGACGGAGTACGAAGTTGTGCGAAGTTAGAAAAGACTGGGGCTAACTTCGTACAGTAAGTGTGTTCAAGGACAATGTGTGTCTAGAAATATGGGTTTTAATGATAAAATTGTGGTGTCAGTTTGGTAGTATATGAGAAAACAGTATACATGTAAACTGGAGCTCTGTCTCAGTCTGTTTTACTGATTTTTGTTTCTAGAAATGGCTGAGAGAAGCTCTGAGATTCCTGTGGACAAACTGCCAACAGACAAACCGCACAAATGTGACCAGTGCGACTTTTCCACTGCACGGCACGACCATTTAGACCTACACATGGTTATGCACAATAGAGACAAACGTTACAAATGTGACCACTGCGACTATTCTACTGCACGTAAAGGCCATTTCGCCCAACACATGGCTAAACACACAGGTGAAAAACCCTACAAATGTGACCAGTGCGACTTTTCTACTGCACGGAAATGCCATTTGGCCGAACACATCAAGGCTAGACACACTGGAGACAAACCCTACATGTGTGGGGAGTGTGGACACAGGACGGCTCACAAGTCTGCTCTAACTCGGCATATGAGGACCCATACTGGTGAGAAACCCTACAAATGTGACCAGTGTGACTATTCTGCTCCATGGATAGGTGAACTTAACCGACACAAGGCTAAACACACCGGAGAAAGACCCTACAAATGTGGCCAGTGTGACTTTGCTGCTGTACGAAAACGCCATTTAGCCGAACACATGGTTAAACACACTGGAGAAAAACGCTACAAGTGTGGGGAGTGCGGATACAGGACAGCGTACAGGTCTGCTCTCATCGCACACAATCAGAGAAGACACGCAGATGTGAAACCCTACAAATGTGACCATTGCGACTTTTCTACTGTAGTAAAGAGCCATCTAGCAGAACACATGTCTAAACACACCGGTGAGAAACCCTACAAGTGTGGGGAGTGTGGATTCAGGACGGCCTATAAGTCTAGCCTGTCCGTACACACAAAAACCCACACTGGTTTGAAACCGTACACGTGTGACCAGTGTGACTATTCTACTTACCGCAAACAGAATTTAGTCAAACACACGTCTACACACACTGGAGACAAACCCTACATGTGTGGGGAGTGTGGGTACAGGACGGCTTACTGGTCTGCTCTAGCCGTACATATGAGGACCCATGTTGTTGTGAAACCTTATAAATGTAACCAGTGCGACTATTCTGCTGCACAGAAAGGCCAATTAAACCAACACATGGCTAAACACACTAGAGACAAACCCTACATGTGTTGGGAGTGTGGATACAGGACAGCTCAAACGAACACTCTTTCACTGCATATGAGGACCCACACAGGAGAAAAACCCTACAAGTGTGACCAGTGCGACTATTCTGCTGCACAGAAAGGCAACTTAGACGAACACATGGCTAAACACACTGGAGAAAAACGCTATGACTGTGATCATTGTGACTTTTCTGCTGTAGAGAAAAAGGATTTAGACTCACACATAGTTAAACACCATATTTACAAACCCTATATGTTGTAGTAAGTAGTAGTAAGCCTTTATTTAAACTCTGAAGCTTGTTCGGTACATACATATTCAACAAGGTCGAGGTAACTACTTTCATGATATATTTTGGTCCAACACAAAAAGTTCTCTCACCTAGAGCTTTCGACCAGTCACTCTGGTCTTCGTCAGTAGACTGACCCAGTGTTGACGTCACACTTCAAAGAAGCCACGTGACAAGCTTCACTGGATCAGTGCTGGACCAAAAGTTTTAACTTTAAACATGTAACCACCAACACAGATGAACTTTCATGATAGTTTCATCACCTGACTTTATTTCATCATACTGATGTCACACAACTTGACTATAGATGTTACACTGTTTAAGCAGCGTTGCTGTCAGAAACACAACAAAAAATATTTCAGCTTGTTTTATCTTTAAATCGCAAACCTGGCGTTTTGGCTTCTTTAAAACTTTATGTCAAGACCAGTTTATTTTTATGTTATTTTATTTTATTGGTTGAGCTGTACAAAAAAAGACAGCCAGGGTTGCCCAACTAGTTACAAGACTATGCCTTGACTAAATGGCTAACCCTGGAGACAAGGACAACAATGTACATAAGATAAGGACATGACATTACCCACTTTACACACCTAAGTAATACAGACAAATTCACATTTTTAATGAACTTAGACAAACCCTCGATCCTTAAACTTGTATGTTCTTATCTTTTCAACATCACAGAGAAGCGAAGAGAAGTCGAAATTATGTAACAGACTGTAGTGCTAGTACTAGATTGATCTTGTTGTGTATATATTTGTGTATTCAAGTTAACCTTTGTACCTAACCCAGTGGGTATGTTTGTACAATAAAGGTCTTCATTCATTCATTCATTAAAATCAGCCATCAACTCATTACATCTACAGGAGGGCTTACACTAAGGAGCACTGTTAAAATACTATTAACATTGGGAGGTCAGGAGACTATTTTAAAGTACTAACCCTGAAGACAATAAGCTACATAAGATAAGGACAGGGCATTAACAGTCTCCAGATTAGCTAACACATGGTCTCACAGCGCCACCTATCGATATTAATCATAACTTCAACGCGCACTTAGTGTACAAGGCAGAAGTGTACAGTGCTTGCCGCTAGTATGCGGCATTATTACCTCCCTCAAAGTTATCTTATTGCATCTACAGGATTATCTATGTATAAATGCACCAATTGACCAGACCGGTTTAACCTGAACACTTCCATGTAGTTCATGACTAAGAAAGGAAAAAATACATGCAAACACGATAGATGACATTGAACGAAAATTTTAATCTTATAGTAAATATGATGCAACTTTCATGTACATGTACATATAGTGGTGTTCAGATAGCATAAGAAGAAGCAGTACTAGAGTGGTAAAGCATTTAGTTTGAAGGTGTCCACAAATATATTTCACAATAGTTCATATTCATTTGTATTCATTACCTTGTTTTTTCTGAATAAAATAATAAAATAAAAATCAGCTGTCCTGAATTCGGAAATGTCAGTCTTTTCTTCTGAGTGACAGAAAGGATAATCTTGTCACATTTCTGCAGTCTTACAAAGATTAGGTCTTTCCTCTGTTCAAAAAGGTAAACTATCTTGGTTATGAAAAAGAAAACTCTTGTATCCTAAAGATGAGTTCTTTGCTCTGTTCAAAAAGGTGTCAGGTTGTCCGGATAGGTTTCACTATTCTCAAATGTTATCGCCTGCATGTCTGGCCATGTGTACAAATTCTTTTCATACATTCTTTTCTAGCGGACCAACTCCCCTGGCCTGTTATCTCTCTATCTATACTCTTTCAAGCCGCCTCCCGAAGCCTGCTAGAGGCTACATACACTAGTAGTAGTAGAGGCTATATACAAATGTACACTGGTAGAGGCTACATACACGTGCACAGCTAGAGGCTAAGTACAATGCTACAGGCTACATACAAATGAACAAATACACTGGTAGAGGCTACATACATGTATGCTAGAGGCTACATACATGTATGCTAGAGGCTACACACACACACACAAGTGATTCTGTCCAGTCTAGTGTGGACCAGAGTTGTATCAGGTTTAAAGTTAAAATTTTTGGTCCAACACAAAAAAATTCTCTCACCTAGGTCTTCCTCAGTAGAATGACCCAGTGAAGTAGTGACCCAGTCAGTCTACTGAGGAAGACCAGAGTGACTGGTCGAAAGCTCTAGGTGAGAGAATTTTTTGTGTTGGACCAAAAGTTTTAACTTTAAACATGTAACTACCAATACATGAACTTTCATGATAGTACAGAGTTGTATCAGTTGAACCAAGGACCTGGGTTGAACTGGTCGTCAGGACCTGGACGTTCTTGGTTGAACTGGTCACTTTTCTGTGGTTTCATACCAGTATGAGTTTTCTTATGCCTGGATAAGTGAGAGCTGTCAGCTGTCTTGTACCCACACTCCTCACACATGTAGGGTTTTGCACCCGAGTGTCTGGCCACGTGCTTGTTCAGTTGCTCTTTCCATGCGGACGAAAAGTCGCACAGGTCACACGTGTAGGGTTTCTCACCAGAGTGGGTTCTCATGTGTCTGTTTAGAGCAGACCTGTAAGCTGTCCTGAAGCCGCACTGGTCACACATGTGGGGTTTGTCTCTATTGTGTTTAGCCATATGCACGGCTAAGTTGCCTTTCTGTGCAGTAGAATAGTCGCACTGGTTACACTTGTAGCGTTTTTCTCCAGTGTGGATTATTTTATGTTGCGAAAAAGAAGACCTGTAACCCGTCCTGTATCCACACTCCTCACACATGTAGGGTTTGTCTCCAGTGTGTTTAGCCATATGTTTGTCCAAATTGCCTTTCCGTGCAGCAGAAAAGTCACACTGGTCACATTTGTAGGGTCTTTCTCCAGTGTGTGTGGCCATGTGTATGTTTAGATCGCTTTTTCGTGTGGCTGCATAGTCGCACTCTTCGCACTTGTAGGGTTTGTCTCCTGTGTGTATAGCCTTGTGTCTTTTTAAGTCGGAATTCCGTACAGCAGCAAAGTCACACTGGTCACATTTGAAGGGTTTGTCTCCAGTGTGTTTATTAGCCATGTGCTGGTCCAAATTGCCTTTCTGCGCAGCAGAGAAGTTGCACTGGTCACATTTGTAGGGTTTCTCACCAGTATGGGTCCTCCTGTGTACGATTAGGCTAGACCTGTCACCTGTCCTGTACTCACACTCGCCACACTTGTAGGGTTTGTCTCCAGTGTGCTTAGACATGTGTCGGTCTAATGTACCTTTCTGTGTAGTGCAATAGTCGCAATGGTCACATTTGTAGGGTTTCTCCTCTGTATGTTTGTGTTTCTTGTGAATCCTTAAATCAGCTTTCAGTGGGGCAGTATAGTCGCACAGGTCGCACTTGAAGCGTCTGTGTCCAGTGTGTTTAGCCACATGCCTGTCTAAATTGCTTTTCTGTGCAGCAGAATAGTCGCACTGGTCACACTTGTAGGGTTTTTCTTCTGTATGAGTCCACAAGTGTTTGGATAGGGAAGACTGGTCAGCAGTTCTGTATCCGCACTCCTCACACATGTAGGGTTTGTCTCCGGTGTGTTTCGCCACGTGTCTGACTAAAGTACTCTTCTGAGCAGCAGAATAGTCGCAGTGTCCACATTTATAGGGCTTCTCACCTGTATGTGTCCTTATATGCTTCACCAGGTTAGCCTTCGAGGTTGCCCTGTAGTCGCATTCCGTACACACGAAGCGATTTTCCGCAGTACGTTTTACCGCAACTGTATCCATCTGGTCTGTACGGCCCTGTATGCCTGTATCTGTCTGCTCTGTATGGCCCTGTACCTGTTCGACTGCATCTGTCTGCTCTGTATCTGGCACATGTACGCCTGTATCTGTCTGCTCTGTACGGCCCGGTTTGCCTGTATCTGTCTGCTCTGTACGGCCCGGTTTGCCTGTATCTGTCTGCTCTGTTCGGCCCTGTACATGTACGCCTGTATCAGTCTGCTCTGTATGGCCCTGTATGCCTGTATCTGTCTGCTCTGTACCCGGCACATGTACGCCTGTATCTGTCTGCTCTGTACGGCCCGGTTCGCCTGTATCCGTCCCCTCTGTAAGGCCCTGTATAACCCTGTCTATCTGCTGTGTAAAGTCCTGCCTCTGCTCCATACAGCCTTGTTCATGTACGGGCAAGTTCTGCTCTTCATCGTTTGTCTCGTTCGCTGGAGGCACTGTCGGCAGGTCGTCCACAGGAATCTCACAGCTCTCAGCCATTTCTAAAAACAACAATTTTTAAGGAATGTTAATATAACATACTTCTAGTAAGTATTTTATTTCATCCGAGAGAAGCAGCACAGCAAGGCATATCTTGTTACGTTGTTCGTGTCAAAGACTCTGTATCTGTACATATCCACACTGGCGCACTAACTCTCCGCCTAGCATGTTACTAGTATATTACGGGTCTGGCAATGACTGGTATCCTGGTTATCTAATCTCCAAGCTGATCCTAGGGTGGCAAAAGACAGTATCAAATTGGCCAGACAGTATCCATTCGCCAGAGAGGGTCCATACGCCACCCCAGGATCTGCTTGGAGATTAGACACCCTTGGGTGGCGTATGGACCTTTTCTGGCCCATGGATACTGCCTGTACAATTGGCCAGGCAGTATCCATTGGCCAGAGAGAGTCCAATACGCTACCCAAGGGCCCATGGATACTGCCTGGCCTATTTGATGCTGTCTTTTGCCACCCTACGATCTGCTTGGAGTATACAGGCTTATATCGCCAAGTAATTTATAGACTTTTCATCATTGGAAAACTGGGATAATCTTAGTATAATATTCAATAAAATGTGCATTAAAATTGAAGAAATCTCAAACTAACTTCTGACAAGAACCTCAGAGATGTCTAAAATTTTCACGAACTCAAGAATTATGATGCGTTGTTTATCACTTACCAGTGGTGTCCACATCTTCAACCTGAACCTCATACTCCTTGTTGGGTACTAAGCTGGAGAACAGGCTGTCATTTCCATCTCCATCTAAGAAGATGGCTTCGTCCTCTTCTGTGTCCACAAGAACGACAGGATAACCCGGAAGCTTCAGAGCTTGTTTCAGCTTTTTAGGCGTCGCATCCTTCAGCTTTAGCTTCCTTCGAAGGCCCGTTTCAGGATAGACAAAAAAGGCTGTGGAACTGCTGGATTCGGTGCTTCCGGCAGTCGCCATCTTGTTTTGTTCTGCGTTTGAGATAGGGAAGATGAAAGTCATGCCTTCAAATATCAGCGTTATCAAACAAGAGGTATTCAAAAACTCGTATTTCCCCAGAACTATCGTAGACTGGAACTCGTTGCCACCAAGCACAGTTGGGGCATTATCACTAGAAAACTTTAAACAACTCCTGCAATCAAATGTGTAAAGATTGAGTGTAACAAGCCGTTCGGTGTCATATAGCTAGCTGCCGCCGCGCCGAGTGCCTGCGAAGCTGGTGTGTTATGCCGAAGGGCAGTTTTACCGGCTATACAGATATGGTGTGTTACGCTGAAGGGCGGTTTTACCGGCTATACAGATACAGAAGCTGGTGTGTTACGCCGAAGGGCGGTTTTACCGGCTATACAGATACAGATACAGAATGGGTGTTTGTTCCATTTCTTATGTTTGCTTTTCAGGCCATATTTTCAGTTAAAATAGATATGTAATAGTTATACAGCTAACTTGACTAACGTCTTCGATGGAATCATTCAATTTCAAACAAATTAAAAATTGTATTTGTCTTTGCAAAAAAAAATTATATCCAGAAATGTAAACAAAAATCAAATCTCATACTTAGTTTTGACAAGGAGCTCAGAGATACCTAGTTCTATTTTTGTCGTGATGTTACACTGTGCCCCCCTCCCCATATAAGGACATGTACTCAAGAACTCCCTGGTGCTATCTTGCTGTCGTATTTACATCAACCAGTGACCGCTGATCACCAACAAATGTCTCACCTGTGTGTTTCTGTTGTTGTAGGGTCGACAAAACGCCGAATCTTCCTTAAAACCGGCTCAGATTTTAGAGAAACGATCTTCCTGCCGCTGGACAAAATGGCGGATACTGGTCAGTGCTGCCGCAGGTGAAAGGTCAAAGTGTTCATACCTGATTACCCAAATAAACAGTAACTGCTCATTAGGCCATGTTGATTTGATTATATGGATGACATCTTCTGGGAAGCCCAAAACTGATGCGAGCGTGCGAATAAAAAAAAAGTTTAGCAAAAAAAAAAGTTGCTTTCATGATGAAATCCACGTGGTCATGAAGATTGAACAAATGACACAAAGTATGGCGAATCCACTCTTCAAATTCATTTCTTTATATTTTGTCTTTTTCGTTTGATTTTGGCATTCTTCGACAATGGCTTCGTTTTCAATTATTCATTTTGCAACTTACGGTAAATATTTGCTCAGTTTGCAACAGTTTTGTACGATTTACAGTATGGTTGTAAAACTTTTTTTTTGGAAACGGCCGAAAATTCATGCGCGCGCGGATGTCATCCATATAATCAAATCAACATGGCCTTACACGGTATGAGACGCAGTGAGGTTTTAGTCTGCCCCATTAACACGAACTTTTATTCCTGAAACACAACATTAAATCCCTCAGTTGTTTTATTGAAAGCTATAGATTATTGAAAACTTAAGCTGAACATGAGCTACTACTACTAGTTCACAAAAAGGTAAGGCCACACCAATTTAATTTCTTGGTTAACGGATTTTTCTAGAAAAATAATGGAGTGGGCGGGCGAAGAAAAAAAACACGGCAAAATATGAGCATTTTGCAGTTGATTCTGAATTTTTTTTTTTTTGGCAAATCAGAAAAAATGAAGCAGGCGAATCCGTTAACCAAGAAATTAAATTGGTGTGGCCTTAGGACATTATATAGATGTCCTTGTTCTCAACCACACTTACTCAAGAAAGGAAAAATAAATACAAACACTATACAGATATCTTTTGAGCATTTTAATTTTATAACGGAGCAACAAGTAACTTTCATCCAACTTTGATTTGTTTCATGTCCTTTCAAATAAATGTTATTGTTGTCCATCTAGCATGAAAATAAACAGAAGCAGGTTTGGAACAGAGTTAGTAAGTAAAACACTTGTTATATTTCTACGGGTTTCCCAGATACATTTATTTACTATCACCTCAGTTTTTTTCATTTTCTTTTATCACCGGTACAAGTACAGAGGTTTGAACAATAAGTTTTAGACAAATCGATTTGATTGGAGTTAATTTGACAACTTCTTCAATAACATAATAAACAGAATAACGGAATCTTTGTTCAATCAAAACAGCACAGAACTACGCAACCTTATGCCATATTTAAACAAAGCAAAACTAAAACAAAACTAAACAAAACAAAACTATGTACCTAAATCAATTTTGTACCGGTACACAGAACCAGTACGCAGCCCTAGCCTGAACACCAAATTCCAAATGTTTTTCAACAGCTGTACATATTGTTCACTACAACACAATTCAGGATGCACTCCTGCAATGCTGTTTTTAGTAAATAAAGTTCTAAAGTTCTTTTATATCTCTACGGGTCGGTTCTCATATGTTGATGCCGGTAAGCCGCCCTATATCTGAACCTCTGGTACGGGGTTTTGCTACGGTGTGTTTAATTCTCATGACACGGGGTGTCGCGCTACAGTGTGTCCAAAACTGGGTGTTGGACTAGATAGTTTCTTTTCACATCTCTATGGGTTCTCAAATGTTGATGCCATTAAGGTGTCCTATATCCGAACCTCTGGTACGGGGTTTTGCTACGGTGTGTTTAGGGCGCCTGACATGGGGTGCCGATGCTACCGTGCATCCGAAATCCGGTGTGACCCCGTGCTTGGCCATGTGGCGGTACACGTTGCTTTTTGACGCCGAAGAATAGTCGCAATAGTCACAGCGGTAGGGCCTCGCTCCTGTATGGGTTCTCCTATGTCGCGATAGGGCGGAATAGTACGCCGTCTTGAAATCACACGCTTCACACGCAAAGGGCTTGTCTCCGGTGTGTTTAGCCATGTGTTGGCGTAAGAAGGCTCGATGCGCGGTAGAATACTCGCAGTGGTCACATTTGTAGGGTTTTTCCCCGGTGTGCGTCGTCTTGTGCTGGGCTAAGTACCGCTTGTGTGCGGTGGAAAAGTCGCACTGGTCACACTTGTAGGGTTTTATACCGGAGTGCGTTTTCATGTGCCGCATCAGGACATTGTGTTTCGCAGTTCTGAACCCACACTCCCCACACGCGAATGGTTTGTCCCCGGTATGATGAGACATGTGGTGCTTTAACGTTGACTTCTCTGCGGCTGCATAGTCACAGTGGTCACACTTGAATGGCTTCTCCCCCGTGTGTTTCCTCATGTGTTTGGTCATGAGAGACTGGTGGGGGGTCTGGAAATCTCCACAGTCGCCACACACGAACAACTTCTCTGCTGCTTTGAGCTCGTCCAGGTGGCAGTTCCCTCGTTTCATGTGTCTTACCAGGTTTGATTTTCTTTTCGCCCGGTAGCTGCATTCCGTACACGCGTAGGGTCTCTCCACAACAACTGTTGGCTCCGTATTGCCCTGTGTTTCCCGGTCTTTCTGCACCGTATTACCCTGTTTATCTGACTGCGGTGTAGGGGCCTGTGCAACCTCAGGCGTCTGCGGTATAGGGAGTTGTGGTAAACCCCCTTTAGGTGCAATGGGTACAAACTGAGCCATTTGCTGTATAGGGAGCTGTAAAACCCTAGCTGCTTGCTGTGTAGGAAGCTGTACAACCCCAGTTGTCTGCTGTACAACTCTAGCATTCTGCTGTACAACCCCAGCTGTCTGCTGTGTAGGGGCCGCTACAACCCTAGCTGTCTGCTGTGTAGGTGCCTGTACAACCCCAGCTGTCTGCTGTGTAGGGGCCGCTACAATCCCAGCTGTCTGCTGTGTAGGAAGCTGTACAACCCTAGCTGTCTGCTGTGCAGGGAGCTGTACAACCCTAGCATTCTGCTGTGCAACCCCAGCTGTCTGCTGTGTAGGTGCCTGTACGACCCCAGCTGTCTGCTGTGTGGGGAGCTGTACAACCCCAGCTGACTGCTGTGCAACCCCAGCTGTCTGCTGTGTAGGGCGCTGTACAACCCCAGCTGTCTGCTGTGTATGTGCCTGTACAACCCCAGATGTCCGCTGTGTAGCCTGTACAACCCCAGCTGTCTGCTGTGTAGGGAGCTGTACAACCCCAGCTGTCTGCTGTGTAGGTGCCTGTACAACCACCACCTGCTGTGCAACCCCAGCTGTCTGCTGTACAGAAGCCTGTACAACCCCAGCTGTCTGCTGTGTAGGGAGCTGTGCAACCCCAGCTGTCTGCTGTGTAGGGAGCTGTACAACCCCACCTGTCTGCTGTACAACCCTAGTTGTCTGCTGTACAACCCTAGTTGTCTGCTGTACAACCCCAGTCGTCTGTTGTACAGGAGCCTGTACAACCCCAGTTGCCTGCTGTATAGCTGCCTGTACAGCCCTAGCTATTTCCTGTGTAGAGGCCGGTAGCTGTCCGCCATTTGTGTTGTTTGATGGCTGGCCCCCTGGCATTATGACTACGACCATAGGCATCTGCTGAGAGCTGCTCTGAGCCATTTCTAAAAACAAGAAAACAACAAGACAGGATTAAAGCAGACTGAATGACAAACATACTAAGCAGTTCATTCTATACTATAACAGCAGCACAACAAGGCGTATCTTAGGGACTGTACGATGTTCAGCGGGGGGAGGGTCAATCTTTGGGGGGTGAGGTGAAAAATGTTTTCCATGACCCTCCCCCCAGCTCCAAAATTTTTCCATGACCCTCCCCCAGCTCCAAAATTTTTCCATGACCCTCCCCCAGCTTCAAAGCTTTTCCATGACCCTCCGCCTAGCTCCAAAAATTTTTCCATGACCCTCCCCCAGCTCCAAAAAACTTCCATGATCCTCCCCAAGCTCCAAAAATTTTTCCATAACCCTCACCACAGCTCCAAAAATATTTCCATAACCCTCCCCCAGCTCCAAAAATTTTTCCATGACCCTCCCCCAGCTCCAAAAATTTTTCCTTGACCCTCCCCCAGATGTAAAAAATATAAATCGGTCGGGAAAACGATGTTAATACGATTATTATATCACAATATATGATTTGGTACGAGGAGCCAGGTCGGATAGCACAGGGAGGTGTTTGAGGAACTCTGGGGGAATCACGGTGCCCAAGGCACGGACAAACAGACTGTATAACTCGTTCCTCCACTGCACAATCAGACTGTACAATAGCCAAACGCAGACCTAGTGTTTTAGTGTTTCATGTCCCACTTTTGTATGTAATTGCCTTGTGCGTCTCTTGTACTTATGTAAAGTCCACACAATTCAGGAGTACTACGTACCCCTGCTATGACTCATTGACTGTTCTTAATATAATTGAAAAATTGAAATTAAATGGTCTGAAGAAGGCGCTTTCCTATAGGCTATGGACATAAGATCTCGCAGGAGTCCTACTGAGCTTTCAATCACTGCATTACGGGGTTCTAGTCTGCCTGAAATTTTATTCTGTCATCCCTGAAATATTATGGATCGGGGAATTTTTTTGGCATGACCCTCCCCAAAGGGCCCAAAATTTTTTCCCTGACACTCCCCCCCCCTGATGACAGACCCTCCCCCGCTAAATATTGTACAGTCCCTTACAAGATATGTTCATGTTAACCCATATTTACATGGATTCCACTGGTATATATCCCTGTATCTCTCGCATTCACAGCTATGCAAAATAACATTAACAGACACAAAAAAATGGCATCGTATCTCAACTTTCATACCTTCTTGTCACATAAACCCCGCTTCTTATGTTAGCCCAGGTATTAATATGTAACTACCGGCATTTTCAGTACATTCTACACTGCAGTTCTTTTACTACAGCTGTTTTGGTACCCCAGTTTCAGGACGATACCAAGAGAGTAAAAACGGGGGGTGTAGCACCACAGAAAAGCCAAGTAACAGGCCAATTTCTCAAAGAAACTTCCAATATTTTTGCAAAAACATGGATTCAAAACCCTACCATGTACCATCCACCTTCAAAATGCCGAAAGTTCACTGAAAATTATGCAAAGTTACACTACCGCCCCCCTCCCCATATAATTTTCAGACGACACGTTACACTCGAGACACCCAAAAAACACTCCTGGTCCTGTCTTGCTGTCTTATTCATACCAACAAATGACCATAGATGATTAACAAACGTCTCACCTGTGTGTTGGGTTGTTGCAGGGTCGACAAAACGCAGAATCGGCTTTTAAAACCGGTTTAGTTTTCAGAGAAACGTTCGAAACGATCTTCCTGCCGCTGGACAAAATGGCGGACACAAAATGGCGGGCAAACGGTGTCACGGGTCAGTGATGTCACAGGTGAAAGGTCAAATTTTTACGCCTGATTACACAAATAAAACAATAACTGTCCGATTACAGTTTGAAGACTGATTCTCGAAGCACAGTGTTTTATCTTTTTTTACCCACATGAAAAATTGTAGGTATTGTTTTGGTGTCTGTGTGTGTCTGTATGTATGTGTGTCAAGTCAAAGGTCAAATTTCGGCCTCCTAGTGGTTAACCTTGGTACTGCAGCAAAACTTTTTCCCAGGACAATTAGATGTTTATCTGCATATATTTTGTACTTTGTTATTGTCATACATAACATTTATCAGTCCTATTATCAGTCCTATTATGTTTTTTAATTTCTTGATCAGTTTTGCAAATCAAGCTTTTGTCCTGAACATGCTATGGTCTAAACATTTGATGTAGGTATGAGATCTTCGAAATCGATTACTAGTATTTTAAAAAGCCACGTAGACTCGACGATTTGGGATTCTATAAAACTAAATGTCAAAACCAGTTCAACCTGAACACTTTCTACTACTGTAATTCCTGATTTTTTCACTGTACTTTTATGTTCACTGTTTTCACTGTACCTCTGTACAGTGAACTTATCATTCCTGAACTGTCTTAATCCTGCACCTGTCACCACCGTGAACATATAGTTCTGTATGCATGTCCATTTTTCTCAGTGAACTTTTGCTATTGTGTCGGGAAACATAAAGAGAACTACAGTAATTAATGCACAACCAAGAATGAAGAACATGAACACAAATGCGACTGATGTCATTGGAAGATTTTAATTCTATTATAACAGAGCAGTGAACTTTAATTTGTTTCATGTGATTTCATGAGAAGTTTTTTGTTGTTAATCTAGCTTGAAAAGTTGGTGAAACACTTGGTTATATTATAACACTGACAAAAAAATGTCCAGACTATGCATGATGTACAAAATTAGTAATAAACTGGTGTATGTACCAACTACTAAGTATCTAATACTAGCTCAAAACAGACAAACAGTCATGCCTTGATTTGGTGTTTTTCTCCTACTGAACTAAAACAGAGTGGAACTCACTGCCACCAAGTACAGCAGGGGCATTGTGTGTGCATAGGTTAGGCCTAAAAGCTGTCCTGCGTCCAAACTCCCCAAACATTTATACAGTTTGGCTCTGGTATGTTTAGCCATTCGTATGGCTCAACAGGCTTACTATTCTGTGGAATAGTCTCACTGGTCACATTCCTATGGTTTCACATCAGTATGGGTCCTCATATGTAGATCTAGAGCAGACCTGTAACAGTGTAAGCTGTCCTGTATCCACACTCCCCACACATGTAGGTTTATTCTCTATTGTGTTTAGCCATGTGTCGGTCCAAATGGCCTTTTGTTGTAGTAGAAAAGTCACACTGGTCACATTTGTAGGGTTTCTCACCAGTATGGGTTCTCATATGTATGGCTAGAGCAGACCTGTAAGCTGTCCTGTATCCACACTCCCCACACATGTAGGGTTTGTCTCCAGTGTGTCTAGCAATAATATGTTGGTCCAAATGGCCTTTATGTCCAGAAGAATAGTCACACTGGTCACATTTGTATGGTTTTGGCCCGGTGTGTTTAGACATGTGTTGGCTTAGAATGCTTTTCTGTGTGGCAGCAAAGTTGCACTGGTCACATCTATATGATTTGTCTCCAGTGTGTTTAGCCATGTGTTGGTTTAAATCATCCTTCCGTGCAGCAGAATAGTCACACTGGTCACATTTGTAGGGTTTCTCACCAGTGTGGGTTCTCATATGTCTGGATAGGTGGGACCTGTCAGCCATCCTGAATCCACACTCCCCACACATGTAGGGTTTGTCTCCAGTGTGTCTAGCCATGTGTCGGTCCAAATTGCCTTTCTGTGAAGCAGAATAGTCACACTGGTCACATTTATATGGCCTTTCCCCAGTATGTTTTCTCATATGTACTGATAGGTTACCTCTGTCAGCCGTCCTGAATCCACACTCCTCACACATGTAGGGTTTGTCTCCAGTGTGTTTAGCCTTGTGTTCGGCTAAACTGAGTCTCCATGCTGTAGAAAAGTCGCACTGGTCACATTTGTAGGGTTTTTCCCCAGTGTGTGTATCCATGTGTTGGTTTAGATTGCTTTTCCATGCAGTAGCATGATCGCACAGGTCACATTTGTAGGGTTTTTCTCCAGTGTGTTTAACCATGTGTTGGTCTAAATGGAATTTCCGTGCAGCAGAATAGTCACACTGGTCACATTTATGCGGTTTGTCTGTTGGCAGTTTGTCCACAGGAATCTCACAGCTTCTCTCAGCCATTTCTAAAAACAAAAATAAGGCAGAATTAAAACAAACTGAATGACATTAAGAATGTTACCATAATTCTTGGAAGCGAATTTCATGACAAACCTCTTGACTTAACTGACATTGCAACAGGGCACTATCGAGAATTATTTGCATGTCTTTAAATAACCCCTTCACTTAACCGCGACGGGGGGCGACATCGTCTACCAGGTACCTTTGACCCAGTGTTGACGTCACACTTCAAAGAAGCCACGTGACAAGCTTAACTGGGTCAGTCTACTGAGGAAGACCAGAGTAACTGGTTGAAAGCTCTAGGTGATCGAATTTTTGTGATGAACCAAAAGTTTTAACTTTAAACATGTTTTTCATGTAGTAACTACCAACACAGATAAACTTTCATGGCATGTCTTCAAATAATTTGCATTTAACTATAGAAATCTCCATAGGGCGAAAACTGGGTCTGCTACCACAAGTTACACTATCGTCCCCCCCCCCCCATATAATTTTCAGAGGACACGTCACACAATAAAACTCACTCTCCTCGTCCAGTTTTACTGTCGTATTCATACCAACAAGTGACCATAGATGACTAACAAATGTCTCACCTGTGTGTTTCTGTCGTTGTAGGGTCGACAAAACGCCGAATCTTCCTAAAAACCGGCTCAGATTTTAGAGAAACTATCTTCCTGCCGCTGGACAAAATGGCGGACAAGCGCTGACACGGGTCACTGCTTCCGCAGGTGAAAGGTCAAAGTATTTATACCTGATTACCCTAATAAAACAGTAACTGTCCGATTACACTGTTGGAAGAGCATTGCAGTCTGATTCTCGAAACACAATATTAATGGTCTCTGTGTGTGTGTCTGTATGTGTGTGTGCCTCTCTGTATGTGTGCGTGTGTGTGTGTCTGTCAGTCTGTCTGTATGTGTGTGTCCATGTCTGTGTTTCCGCATACCTGTGGTCAGCATAACTTAAGAAGGTATTTATGGATTGTGATGATATTTTGTATGTGGGTAGATCTATCACATACAACAAATATGTGAGGATGCGGGCTGCAGACCAGAAGACCTGCCCAGGGCTATGGAGGATAGGGAGGGCTGGCGGAAAAGAGTCACGAGCATCCGTGAAACTCTCACGACCAGATGATGATGATGAGATCGATCATAGGAAGGCAAAGGTCAAATTTGGCCTTCTAGCGGCTGACCTTGGTACTGCAGCAGAACTTCCTTTTTTTTGTATCTTTTGTCCTGGACATGCTATGGTGTTCTTTTTTTTTTGTGGCTGATAGCTTTTCATGTTACTTTTGTTAGGAAACATGAGTAAGTTAGATGAAATCACTATGCATAAAACGATGCTAAATATTTTCATGTAGGTATGAGATCTTTGAAATCGTTTATTTCAAAATTGCAAAGCTAAATAGAGTCTTCACATCAAGAGAAGTTCAATATGACAAACATAGTAAAATCCTTTTTTTAATTTATAAGACTGGCAAAAAATGTCCAGACTATACATATGATATACAAAATTGCTAATAAGCTGGTGCAACTACTAAGTACAAATACCTAGTACATAGTTATCTAATTAAGAGTTATTTGAACTATATAACTATATAAATAAACTATATAAATCTTCGGAAACGAAGCCAAGCCAAGAGAGTCCTTTTGAACTATATAGTATAACATTGTGAAACTCACTGCCACCAAGTACAGCAGGGGTATTGTGTGTGCTGATAGGTTAGGACTAAAAGCTGTCCTGCGTCCACACTCCCCAAACATTTACACAGTTTGGCTCCGGTATGTTTAGCTACTTCATTTGTTCAGTAAAATAGTCTCACTGATTACATTTCTATGGTTTCTCATCAGTATGGGTCCTCATGTGTAGGGTTAGAGCAGACCTGTAAGCTGTCCGGTATCCACACTCATCACACATGTAGGGTTTTTCCCCAGTGTGTGTAGCCATGTGTCGGTTTAAATCACTTTTCCGTGCTGTAGAATAGTCGCACTGGTCACATTTGTAGGGTTTGTCTCCAGTGTGTTTAACCATGTGTTGCTTTAAATCGGCTTTCCATTTAGTAGAATAATTGCACTGGTGACATTTGTAGGGTTTGTCTACAGAATGTTTCGCCATGTGTCGGTTCAATTGGCCTTTCTGTGCAGCAGCAAAGTTGCACTGGTCACATTTGTGGGGTTTCTCACCAGTATGGGTCCACATGTGTTGGGCTAGAGCAGACCTGTAAGCTGTCCTGTATCCACACTCCCCACACATGTAGGGTTTGTCTCCTGTGTGTTTAGCCAAGATGTGTTCGGCTAAATGCACTTTCTGTGCAGTAGAATAGTTGCACAGGTCACATCTATATGGTTTTTCTCCAGTGTGTTTAGCCATGTGATTGTTTAAATCAGCTTTCCGTACAGCAGAATAGTCACACTGGTCACATTTGTAGGGTCTGTCTCCTGTGTGTTTAGCCATGTGCATGTCTAAATGCCCTTTCTGTGCAGCAGAAAAGTCACACTGGTCACACTTGTAGGGTTTCTCACCAGTATGGGTTCTCATATGTCGAGTTATAACAGACCTGTAAGCTGTCCTGTGTCCACACTCCCCACACATGTAGGGTTTGCCTCCCATGTGTTTTGCCATGATGTGTTGGTCTAAACCGCTTTTTCGTACAGCAGAAAAGTCACACTGGTCACACTTGTAGGGTTTCTCACCTGAATGGGTCTTCATATGTTTGAATAGGCTAGACCTGTAAGCTGTCCTGTATCCACACTCCCCACACGTGTAGCGTTTGTCTCCAGTGTGTTTAGCCATGTGTTCGGATAAATGGCTTTTCCACGAAGTAGAAAAGTTGCACTGGTCACATTTGTAGGGTTTGTCTGTTGGCAGTTTGTCCACAGGAATCTCACAGCTTCTCTCAGCCATTTCTAAAAACAAGTAAGCAAAACAGACTGAGTGACAAAGAAATGTTACCATAATAAACATACCCGCAGTTTCATTCTACTTTTCTACTAGAGCAGCAGCACAGCAATTTGTAATAATTCTTGCAAGCGACAAACCTTTTGACTTTAGTGACACTGCACCAGGGCAAAAATTATACCGAGAATTATTGGCATGCCTTCAAATTTGCTGACCCTTCGTACTAGTAGTAAATTAATTGTTGTAAATCGCTTGTGCACCCTACTATAAATTTTACAGCGTCGAACCTTCTCCAGGGGTGGCAGGAGTATACGGTACAATTTTACGGAATATAGTGCAATTTTACGGAATATAGTGCAATTTTACTAGTCTACAGTGCAATTTTACTTGCAATCGCATTAGTATACAGTGCAACTCTGGGACCCCTGTTCTCACTTTGGGCTCCATAACTACTGTAAGTTCAGTTATGTTCGCAGGGGATAAATTTCGCGTTAGGAAAGGAAAGAATTATTTTGCGATGTTTAAAGTTCACGGTTGAAACAATACCTAAGCACGGGAGTACATTTACAGTGGCGTCAGTGCCTTTACACTTGGTTGAAATATGCCTCTTATTGTGGCATTGTATTATATATACAGTATATTGTATGGTACACAATTTTGGCCTGTATGCCGCTATCGATGCATGTCTTCCACTTTTGTCTTGTCTCATTTGAAATGCAGGACAGCGCAGTTCTTGTTGTGGAAACATCGGAGAAGAAGGATCAAACAGCGTGTTTATAGTAAAGCAAGTGCATTGTGTAATTTCATCTGGGTTTACCAGTAAACAAACGTCCGTGCCAGGTGTGCATTCCACTGCCACCATCGCAGCCGATGTTGTTCACTAGTATTTGCACAGTCATGCCCATGAGGGCTAGGCGCCAAAAGACTGGTTTTCCAGCTGTTGTACTTCATAAAACAGATCACATTCGCGATCTCATGACTTCGCGATGGAGCGGTCATCGTGAATACCGCGAAAATAAAACCACCACGATCATTTCAAGATTTACAGTATAGAAAACCCCATAGGGTGAAATCTATATTGTCACCTTCAAAGTTTACTACAGGTTGTTGTTGTCCTTGTTTAACGTCTACTATATCGCTAGACGTGGTCACTCGGTGCTCGTTTTCGCGTGGGTCAGTTTAGAGTCAAAAGGTCTCTCTAGGTATTTAACTCTTGGTGCCTTGTGCTTGAGTGAAGCTGGTTTACACTACCGCCCCCCTCCCCCATATAATTTTCAGAGGACACGCCACACTAAAACTCCACTGGTCCTGTTTCGCTGTCGTATTCATACCAACAAATGACGATAAATGACTAACAAACGACTTACGTGTGTGTTTCTGTTGTTGTAGGTTCGGTAAAACGCTGAATAGTCTTTAAAACCGGTTTATTTTTCAGAGAAAAAGGTTCGAAACTATCTTCCTGCCGCTGGACAAAATGGCGGACAAGCGCTGACATGGGTCACTGCTTCCGAAGGTGAAAGGTCAAAGTGTTCATACCTGATTACCCAAATAAAACAGTAACTGTCCGATTACACTATTTCAAGACCGTTGCAGTCTGATTCTTGAAACACAATATTAAATCTTCTGTTTACCTACATGAAAATGTACGTATGTAAGGGCCCTGAGGTTCCAGTAACCATTTTCCGTCAGAATTGTAGGAATATTTGCTCTATGAGGGTCAATATACACTGGGATAGTGTAGTTTCAACTCAGTGTGTAGATAAGTGTGATTAGTATATTGTACGCCAAAGAGCAGTTACTCAAGCAAATGGATATGATTTTGAAAACGTCAGACGTTTCAGCTAGTATCCACTAGCTCTCGTCAGTGACTAGTGGATACTATCTGAAACGTCTGACGTTTTCAAAATCATATCCAGTCATCCAGTTGCTTGAGTAACTGCTTTTTGGCGTATCGTATTACCTGGATGTCTAACCTTCATCGACAGATTAGTATATTGGTTTTGAAAAATCGGGTTTCCAAGCCCTAAAAACTGCACTGGATGCCTTTAAGCTACATGTAATCACCAAAAAGATAAATCCAAAAAAACAAAACAAAACAAAAAAAAAACAACGGCACTTAATATTTTCAGTAGATCTTTGAATTCGTTTATTTCAAAAATGCAAAGCTACGAAGAGTGTTCACAGTTTGGAATCTTTAAAACTTGATGTCAAGACCAGTTCAACCTGACATAGTAAAAAACTTGTTTTTTATTTATTTATAAGACTGGCAAAAAATGTCCAGACTATACATATGAAATACAAAATTGCTAAATGGTGCATGTACCAACTACTAAGAACTAATACCTAGTATAGTACATAGTTACCTAATACTAATAAATAAAGTTATAGTCCTTTTGAACTACTAGTGTATAGTATAACATCTGTATCTGTATCCGTATAGCCGGTATAACCGCCTTTCGGCATAACACACCAGCTTCGCAGGCGGCAGCTGGCTATATTACACCGATTGACTTGTTACACCTAACTCTTGAACTTCTAACTCTAGACATTGTTTAAAGCTATCTAATGACAATGCCCCTACTGTACTTGGTGACTGTGAGTTCCACTCTCCGATAGTTCTAGGAAAGAATGAATTCTTGAACACCTCAATCCTTGGTTGATAACTCTGGTACTTGAATGCGTGGCTATTTCTTGTTCTCTTCTGGGCTGGTATTAGATACTTAGTAGTTGCAACATCCACCAGTTTATTAGTCATTTTGAACATTGTGGAACTCACTGCCACTAAGTACAGCAGGGGCATTGTGTTTGCAGATATGTTTGGCCTAAAAGCTGTCCTGCGTCCAAACTCCCCAAACATTTATACAGTTTGGCTCTGGTATGTTTAGCCATTTGTGAGGCTCCACAGACTTTATATGTGGTGGAATAGTCCCACTGGTTACTATGGTTTCACACCAGTATGGGTCCTCATATGTCGGGCTAGAGTAGACTTGTAAGTCGTCCTGTGTCCACACTCCCCACACATGTAGGGTTTTACTCTATTGTGCTTAACCATGTGTCGGTCCAAATGGCCTTTCCGTGTGGTAGAATATTTGCACTGGTCACACTTATATGGTGTGTCACCTGTATGGGTCCTCATATGTACGATTAGAGCAGACCTGTAAGCTGTCCTGTATCCACACTCCCCACACATGTAGCGTTTGTCTCCAGTGTGTTTAGACATGTGTTCGGCTAAATGGCCTTTATGTGCAGTAGAATAGTTGCACTGGTCACATTTATATGGGATGTCACCTGTATGGGTCCTCATATGATTGACCAGAGCAGACCTGTAAGCTGTCCTGTATCCACATTCCCCACATATGTAGGGTTTGTCTCCAGTGTGTATAGACATGTGCTGGTCCAAACAGCTTTTCCGTGCAGTAGAATAGTCGCACTGGTCACATTTGTATGGTTTTCCCCGGTGTGTTTACACATGTGTCGGTTTAAATCCTCCTTCCGTGCAGTAGAAAAGTCACACTGGTCACACTTGTAGGGTTTGTCTCCTGTGTGTATAGCCTTGTGTCTGTTTAAGTCGGCTTTTCGTACACTAGAAAAGTCGCACTGGTCACACTTGTAGGGTTTGTATCCTGTGTGTTTAGCCATGTGTACCTCTAAATGGCCTTTCTGTGCAGCAGAAAAGTCACATTGCTCACACCTGTAGGGTTTCTCACCAGTGTGGGTTCTCATATGTACGGTGAGAACAGACCTGTAAGCTGTCCTGTGTCCACATTCCCCACACATGTAGGGTTTGTCTCCTGTGTGTCTAGACATGTGTTCCACTAAATGGCCTTTCTGTGCAGTAGAATAGTCACACTGGTCACATTTATGCGGTTTGTCTGTTGGCAGTTTGTCCACAGGAATGTCACAGCTTCTCCCAGCCATTTCTAAAACCAACAATAAGGCATAAGTAAAACAGACTGAATGACAAAGAAATGTTACCATAATAAACATACCCGCAGTTTCATTCTACTTTTCTAAAGCAGCAGCACAGCAAGGTGTAAATTCTTGCAAGCGAAGTTCGTGACAAACCAATGCCAAGAATTATTTGCATGTCTTCGAATAATGGAGGGACGACTTTGACACAGGCCACTCACAGAGATGAGGAGCCCTACTCAAGTATAAGTAAGTACTTCAAATAATTTGCATGAACCCTAACATGAGTAAATTACTACTAGTAAATTTTTGTAACTATCTTGTGCAACCTGCTATAAATTTTACAGCGTCAAACTGTCTCACTTTGGGCTCCCATCGCCATAGGGCCAAAACTGTGTTCTGCCACTACCGCCCCCCTCCCCCATATACTTTTCAGAGGATACGTCACATAAAAAAACTCCACTGGTCCAGTTTTGCTGTCGTACTCATACCAACCAGTGACCATAGATGACTAACAAACGTCTCACCTGTGTGTTTCTGTGGTTGTAGGGTCGACAAAACGCCGAATCTTCCTTAAAACCGGCTCAGATAATAGAGAAACGCTAGAAACTATCTTCCTGCCCCTGGACAAAATGGCGGACCCAAAATGGAGGGCAAGCGCTTCCGCAGGTGAAAGGTTAAATACTTCCGCCTGGTTACCCAAATAAAACAGTAACTGTCCGATTATACTGTTTGAGCAGCGTTGCAATCTGATTCTCGAAACTTAGTATATTATTTCATCTTCTGTTTACATACATAAGAATTGTATTGTTTATTTAGGTTTTGTTTTTATCTGGAATAAGGCAATCTTTGTGATATTCAGAGTGTTTCACATTAGCACATTCGACTCAGTATTTCATACTTTGGGCTTTTAAAACTGCAGAAACAAGCCATAAGTCCTTTATTTTTTGGGTGGTACCCTAAAAAATCACCCCAGGGCCCTTCCAGTAACCATTTTCCGTCAGAATTGTGGGAATTTTTGCTCTCTGAGGGTCAATATACATTGGGATAGTGTAGTTTTCAACTCAGTGTGTAGGTAAGTGACTAGAATATTGGCTTTGAAAAATCGGGTTTCCAAGCCCTAAAAACTGCACTTAAGCTGCATGTAATCACCGACAAGATAAATCCAAAAACAACAACAAAATAATACAACAGCACTTAGTATTTCATGTAGGTATTAAGTCTTTGAATTCATTTATTTCAAAATTGCAAAGCTACATAGAATCTTTACAGTTTGTGATTCTTTAAAACTTGATGTCAAGACCAATTCAACCTGACAAACATAGTAAAACACTTGTTTTTTTATTTATTTATAAGACTGGCAAAAAATGTCCAGACTATACATATGATATACAAAATTGCTAATAAACTGGTGCATGTACCAACTACAGTTGTACTAAGAACTAATACCAAGCTATATAGTACATAGTTACCTAATACTAAAGTTATAGTCCTTTTGAACTACTAGTATATAGTACATGTATAACATTGTGGAACTCACTGCCACTAAGTACAGCAGGGGCTTTGTGTATGAAGATAGGTTAGGCCTAAAAGCTGTCCTGCGTCCACACTCCCCAAACATTTATACAGTTTGGCTCCGGTATGTTTAGCCATTTGTGTGGCTCAATAGACTTTATATGTGGTGGAATAGTCCCACTGGTTACTATGGTTTCACACCAGTATGGGTCCTCATATGTCGGGTGAGAGCAAACCTGTAAGCCGTCCTGAATCCACACTTCCCACACTTGTAGGGTTTTTCTCCTGTGTGTTTAGCCATGTGTTTGGATAGAGTAGACCTGTCAGCTGTCCTGTACCCACACT